ATACACGGGGAAAGGGGGGGGGGGGCGGGGAGCCTGCTATCCACGCAAGGTACCTTTTCAAACCTGTCGGCAATCATGTATCGGACCCTCCAGCTCTTGTCTTCTATCAAGTTCCGCAGAGAGGTCAACAGCACGCCATGGCTGGCCTGTTGCTCCTTGGGGACGACCTCGGCAATGGAGATGAGAATCTCGACGGTGAGTAGGCGCACGCTGTCCTGGTCGTCTTGCACGAGATGCTGGAAGAGGGGTATCATTTCGTCGATTACAATGGACGCAGGCATCTCCTTGACGAACTTGGCCAGGTTGTTGGCAGCCTGTCGGCGGACCATGGGGGTATCATCGTGGACGAGTAGACCGAACTGCTGGCGAAGCTGTTCTTGGATGGGGGGCGAAACCTTGCGGTAAGGCGCCGTGAAGAGGCCGCAGCCAGACACCTTGGAGGTGAACCAATCCGCCTTGGAGAGCCTGATGGTGAGTGGAATGAAGTACTCCTCAACTTGTTGCGCGTCGAGGCTTTCGCAGATCTTGTTCAACGACTCGACAGCCTGGGGTAGAGCAATGGTCAGCGCGACAGGTCACGATTGGCAAGCCGAGGGCTCGATTGGGCTCCAAGGGGAGGAGGGGAGGCAGTAGATGCTCACCTTGTCCCGAACCACAGGCTCCTCGATGGCAGCCAGATTCTCCAACGGCGACAGGAGGACATGGCCGTATGAGGGGCCTCCTACGTACTCGATAAAGCTGCCCAGTTCATCGCTCAGGGCCACCAAGACTTCGTCCTCGTCCTCGACGGATTCTATGACGGTGAGAGGGGAGAAAGTTAGGGATTGGATTGCTTGGAGAGCGACGGGAAATCCGAAACCTGCGCTGGTGATGGCGAGGCGGACACCACGGCGGGCAACGAGGTGGTCACATGGGCAAGACGATGGTACTAACCGTCTAGGAAGGGGATCAGCTCGTCTCTGGTGCGCTCGGCGCCGAGAGCAAGAGCAATGGTGGAGAGACGGCGGATGGCGTTGAGGCGAAGCAGGACATCATCGTGCTAGAATACACGAGGACACGATGGTCGGGGGGAGGCGATTCGCGAGGCGAGGCGGGCATGGGAGTGGTGACTTGGGCCGGCGCTGGGGAACTGGCTGGGTTGAGCCGTCTCGAGGGGCTTACCTTTAGCTCGTCGATGAGAACTGCGATGGGATAAAGCTCGTTGTTTGCGTTGGCCGCGTCAGTCATGGCGAATGACGGAGGGTGACAGCGCGCGTGTCTGTCGGAGAAAGGGAGGGGGGAGGGGGGGAAGAGGGCGTGGTCGAGATGGAGGAAAAGCAGAATGACGAGGTGAGTGAGGGACGGTCGGGGATGAGCGAGGCGTGGTGGTTGGTGGTCGGTGGTTGGTGGTGGTGGTGTCTGGTGCGGTGCGTGCGGTGCGTGTGGTCACTGGCGGTGGTGGCGGCCAGCGCTCTTCGGGCCCTCTGGGACGCCAAAACTCGCCGCAAGCGCAGCGGCAGCAGCGCAGCTCTCGACCAGCGGCAGCGGCAGTGGCAGTGGCAGTGGCAGTGGCAGTGGGCGGGCGGCTGGCAGCTCACGGTCTCAGGTCTGCGCTGCTGCCGCTGCCCGCTGCCCGCCGCCCAGGCACTCCGTACCTTTGCCGGGGAATGAAATCCCAAGCCAAGGACGCGCAAGGCACGCGCGCGAAGCCGTGATCGGTGATGCAATCAGTGGCTCCTTTCCCAGGCCAGCAGCAAGTACCCCACGTTGGGCAACTCTGCGCCGGCGAATGGCAAACGTCGGGTATTCAACTCTCTACTCCGTACTCAGGTACTCATCTGCTTACCCAGGGACCTACCTAGGTTTAAGCAGGGAGTAGACATGCACATCCAGGCTCTCAATCGGATGTGCGGCCGGAGCCACGGCCTCGAGGACGTGAACATGACATTGCCATGCTTGACGGAGGCAGCACCTGGAGTAGGAACTTCCTCCGTCCGTTCACTCGGAATCATGCCTCAAGTACTCCGTACGGAGTGCTGGTACCGCTCAGCTCTCTCAGTAACATGCCCAGCCGGCGGCCCGCCAGGGCCTCAGAGGTCATCTGTACTTACTCCGTTCGCACTCCGTAACCAGTCCGTCAGTCCATCCGGCCCCACCCAAAAATTGTTGCGTGACTCAACCCCGAAATCTCACCCCGCCATCATGACGGACATACAAATACAAGCAAGTTGCCTACTTCTTACATGTAAGAGTCTGGCGCAATCAAACATCACCGCCTCGACCGCCACCGTCGTCCCATCTCAATCCACGCAGTCGCTTCCGTGCAGACTACTGCGACAGGAGTTCGAGGCGTTGACCCTCCAATCTCACCATGCCCACCATCTCCGTCGACAAGTACAAGCTCTTCGAGGCTCTTGGCAAGAAGTATGTCCGTTCCAACTTGCGCTTGCTTCTGCCCCTTCATCGTCGACTCTTCCTACCAATTGCTCTGGTACATGTTTTTGCGAAACCCCTCTTTCCTTGCCTCCCGCCATTTTCTCATAAACTCGTGTCGTATTGTCCAAATTCCCAACCTGTCATTCCGTCTATGCCTGCCCACGCGGACTGACCCTTTGCTTCATTCGCCAACAGCTTCACCAAGCAAGAGTTTGAAGACCTCTGCTTCGACTATGGCATCGAACTCGACGATGACACCGAGGACCAGGACCGCCCCATTGTCGACGGGAAGCAGGAACCCCCCCAGCTCAAGATCGAAATCGGGGCCAACCGCTATGATATGCTCTGTTTCGAGGGCATTGCTCTCAACCTCAACGTCTTCCTTGGTCGTACAAAGCCCCCCAACTTCCGCGTCGTCGAACCCAAAGATGCCCATGCCCAAGTCATCAAGGTCCTTCCCGACACCACACGTGTCCGCCCTTACGTCTCTGGCGCCGTCTTGCGCAACATCAAGTTCACCCCCGACCGCTACGAGTCCTTCATCGCCCTGCAGGACAAGCTGCATCAAAACTTGGCGCGGAACCGGACCTTGGTGTCCATGGGAACACACGACCTGGACACCGTCCAAGGCCCCTTCACCTATGAGGCCCTGCCTCCCGGGGATATCAAGTTCATCCCCCTGAACCAGACCAAGGAAATGAACGCCCAAGAGCTCATGACCTTCTACGAAACCGACAGGCACCTCGGCCGCTACCTGCATATTATCCGCGACGCTCCCGTGTACCCCGTCATCTACGACGCCAACCGGATTGTTTGTTCTTTGCCCCCCATCATCAACGGCGACCACTCCAAAATCACCGTCAACACCACCAACGTCTTCATCGAGATTACTGCCACCGACATGACCAAGCTGCAGATCGTGACCGACATGCTAGTGACCATGTTCTCCGGCTACGTCCAAGAGCCCTTCACCGTGGAACCCGTAAAGGTCATTTCAGAGCACAACGGCCTGACCCGTGTCACCCCGTCGCTGAAGCCCAGAGTCACCCACGTCGAGGTCGACTACCTCAACAGCTGCACGGGCCTGAGCGAGACGCCCGAGGGTCTTTGCAAGCTTCTCACCAAGATGGCCTACGACTCCAAGCCCTCAGACAAGGACCCCAACCTGCTCCAAGTCTCCATACCTCCCACGCGTGCCGATGTCCTGCATCAGTGCGATGTCATGGAGGATCTGGCCGTCTGCTATGGTTTCAACAAGCTGCCTCGCACCGCCCCGACACGAAGTGCCACCATAGGCGCTCCCCTCATGATCAACAAGCTGGCCGACATTGTCCGATTCGAAGCCGCAATGGCCGGCTGGAGCGAGGTCCTGCCCCTCATTCTCTGCAGCCACGACGAGAACTTTGCCTGGCTCAACCGCAAGGACGACGGCAGGACCGCCGTTCGTCTGGCAAACCCCAAGACTTTGGAATACCAAATCGTCCGCACCTCCCTGCTGCCCGGCCTCCTCAAGACCATCCGCGAGAACAAGGGCCACAGCGTTCCCTTCAAGATCTTCGAGGTCTCAGACGTGGCCTTCAAGGACGAATCCGTCGAGCGCAAGGCCCGCAACGAGCGCCACTTTGCCGCCGCCTGGTGCGGCAAATCGAGTGGTTTCGAAGTCGTCCACGGCCTGCTCGACCGCATCCTGTCCATGCTCCGAACCGCCTTCCTCACCCACGACGAAGGCCTCACCGCCGGCCAGAGCGTCGACTACCAGGTCAGGCAGAACCCCACCAAGGCCGACGGCTACTGGATCGAGGAGCTCAGGGAGGATACTTTCTTCCCAGGCCACGCTGCCTCGGTGCATCTTCGCCTGGGCGGCAAGGACAGACGCATTGGCGAGTTTGGCATCATTCACCCTACGGTGCTGGAGAAGTTCGACTTGAGGTGCGCTTCCCCGCTTCCTTTTCGACATATGCCCGCCTTGATTAACACTGCAATAGGTACCCCGTCAGCACGCTCGAGGTTAATCTCGAAGTCTTCTTGTAAATACGAAATTACTGGACCATGCCAGCGCCAAAGATGATAGAATAGACGAGAGATGTGGAACAAGGGAGCTCCATCTGAAGTGATGCGGCCTGGTTGGCGCACGTGTCGGCATCGAGAGACGAGATTTACGAGACGAATAGACAGCGTTGAAAGACCACAAAAGTCCCTTTTGTGCACAGCTCATGCGACTCGTCAATTCTCTGCAAGTTTGAGTGGCCCGAACAGCCCATTGTCAACCACGCTATGCTACGATTTTCGCCATCTATGGGACGTCACATGTGTGTGTATGTCTTTATGTTCCGCCGCGCCACAAAGCTCCCATGCACTACGCCCCCGGTGACTCCCCTCGAGGCCGCCTCGAGGTTCGACCATGACGGCATCACCTGTCCGGAGGGGGAGCTCGTTCCCGGCCCTTCTTCTGTTGTGAGTGATGATTTTGCCATTTCCATTCTCGTGTGAGCAGTGTAGCCGGGCGACCCAGTAGGTGGTTGGGAGTCCAGGCTGTACAAAGGGCTCTCGGCACCGTCCGCGTCTGTCTCCAAGGGCTCAACGATTGCCCACCCGCGGCTAATGTCATCGTCTGGCGTGCAACATCCAGGGGACTTGCTGTTAACCTTTAATGTATGGGCGAATGGGCGAGGCGGCGGGCATTCACGAATTACCGTATTCGACGTCTCAACGACTTGCCAGGGCCTCTGCGCACCCTCGTCCTCGTCAGGAAACATGACTCTCTATGTCATCTCGCTCATCTCTTGCTCCGTGCGTGGAGCTGTGACTGATCCGGAAGCCTCGCCCCGACCGAGATTGCTCAGTATGCCTCTGCCAATGTTCAGCCCTGACAAACCATCCCGGACGGCTGCAAAGGCGTTTGGACCCTCGGCAGACGCGCTACGGCGCAACGTAGACTGCCTGTTATCCGAGGTGATTGTCTCGTGCGCGGTTTCCACTGCTTCCAGTACGGACTGGGTGTCGCTGAGGCCCGGAGGTCTCGGTGATCCCGAGGCTGATCGGGACATATGATCCGGACGCGAGGGGCCGTGTAAGCTCGACACGGCCGCGAGGCGCTCATTCTCGGCAACAGCAGCAGCGTTCAAAGCCCCATTCATTTCGTCGTCCGTGCGACCAAAGACTTGATACCACCACCTGACTTCTTTTAGATTCGGCAGAATAATTCTCTCTTTGCCTCTGACGCGATCATCGACGGTGGGATCGTAGTCGGGGTTTGTAAATTCTTGCTTTCGACAGAGAAAGTAGTCCCAGACCGACGACGTCCTCTCACTGACTCTGGCATCTTTGCGTTGTTTCTCCGAGTTGTACAAGAAGGTCCCATACTGACAGGAGTAGAGGTGGTAGAGAAGACGGCGCAGAAAGCGCTCATTGTACTCAAAACGGGTAGGGTGCTGCTTGGTCAGCTGATAGGTACAGTCGAGGAACTGGTGGAAAACAGGGCTCATCATTTTGGGGGTGGTGGCCTCTTCGTCCACCACTTTCCCCGACGTGATCTCGCTTGCTCCTTCCAACTCGGACTCTTCCTTGCTCGAGTTGAAGAAGCGCCTAGCGCTGGTGAGAACTTGCTGAATCGCATCGCCGCGACCGTCACTATCTCCGGGCTGGACTTTTGACCCAGCCAAGGCGTCCCTCTGGACAACGAACCAGTCCTCGTGGTTCAAATGTCCAGACCGCAGCCTAAACATATGACCAAACGAGAGCCAGTCCTTTTCCACTAGAACAATGAAGCCATCTATCGTTCTGAAGTAGGGGTCTAGCATAATTTGTGCCAAAGCGCTCAGTTGACTCGTGCGATCCCATCCGTCCGAGCAGTGGATAAGGACATTGGAATGGCTGATTCCGATTCTGCGGGTAATGATGGCCGACCCGCTGAGAATTTCCTCAATGTGTCGCAACCAGTTGCTTTGATGCAAGAGGTCTCGACTGGGGGGGAGGGGAGATATGTCAGTGTCCTTGAGGGCGTCCACGACCCTCTCGAGCGAGGATCGCATGACGTGAATATTCCCAATACTGAGGTACGTCTTCGTGGCAAACTTGTACTTGACCATATTCTCCGATCCCATGCCCTGGACTTGATTGGCAATGGCGTTGATCGAGGGGCGAGCGTCGACAATCATGTTGGCCTGCTGTCGGCCGTATATCCTTGTTTCGCCCGTCTTCTCGTCGTAGATGGCGGCTGACCGCGAGATCAATTCGTCTTCGTAGCGCTCCATATCCGATAGGGATGATGCCAGCACGCTACTGTCCGCCGGTTCCTGCTGGCTCGCAGGTGGTGTAGTTTCCTCCGATCCACCGGGCATCCAGGCGGAGAAGGATGCCGCAACAAGCCTCTCGTCCTGTACGTTTGTTCTCCTGGTGAGGCCCGCCAACGGTTGGGAGCTCCTTGTGATTGTGCAGTTGTTGACGGGATGGATGTAGGACAGGACGGGAATTCGATTCCGAGAACGAAAGTCTCTGGCGTATTTGAGGACGTTGTCCGAGATCTTGGAAGGCACAACCAAAAAGGCCGGGTATGTGTCGCAAAACGTATAGTCCTTATTGATGGTGGTGACTCTCCAGCCCTTGTCAGGCAGCTTCGCGCTGATACCCTGCCTCCGGAACTCGGCCTTGGGGTCGTAGAAGTCCCAGCCATTCATTTCTCGTTCATTCTTGAGGGGTCTGTGGCTGAAGGCGTAGAGTCTTTCCACCGTGCCGAGCTTGCAGGTCCTCGACTTGATAAAGTCAAATGCCTCACGGGCGACATCGTTGTCGACAAAGGTGAAGGTGACAAAGGAAAAGTCGCGGCACCGAATACGTATGGACGGAGACTGCCTGGATGTAGGAGGCGTCGGGCGAAGAGCACAGTAGGAGAGGATCGGGAACGTGAGCCATCGCTCTCTCATCCTTGCCGGCGCCGCAGGGTCCGCGCGCCCTTTGTGCTGGTCTATCGGAGCGCAAAACACCATGTGATAGTCTGTGAGTCGCAGGATGCCAGTGGTGGTCTGGCCACCGTATATTCCTCTGACATTGTGGATAACCTAGAACGTAGACGAACAATGTTAGGCTTCTTGCGGTGGTGAAGGGCTGCGCGGAGTGGTATGAACCGTTCCATCCAGTCCTCATCATACCTTCTTGGCCTCCATGTTCCTCCTCCCCGGCAGTTGTTGTACTTGAGCGGTCGCCAAAGTGATGCTTCGGTGCTATACTCCAGAACAGAAACAAGACAGAGCACAGGAATGCGAAAACCATAGACGGCGGCTGCTCGCCCGGCCGTTGCACCCGCGATTCGCTGGTTGGATCTGTCGTCAGCGCCAGAATCGATGGCAGGAGCCCAGAGATTGACGGCCCTTCACTTGACTCTGCGGGAGGCGGCTGAAGGACGAGACAATAGACTCAAAACATTATACAAAGAAGCTGGAAACCCAGGGATAGCTGAAGCGATTTGTTGAAAATCTCGTAGGGAGTACGGGACTGGAATGAACAAGGCCCAGTGCAGTATTGAGGATCAGAGAGCAGAGCACTGTCGAGTGAGTACTTACTTAGGTTACGTTTGTACAAGCCGAGCTCTGGAGTACGAGGTGGGGCGGGGGTGGCTTGTACGTATGCTAGACTCTGGTGAGCAACGACGACGTCAGGCGCTCCTGCCCTGCCGCCCACTGATCACTGACGGGCAAGCTCACCAGGCAGGCAACGCACGAGCCAGCCGCACCCGAAGCAGTCTAGCGTCAGAGTCCCGGGAAGAAGCTGCGACCTGCCCCGGCGGACGGCGAAGCAGAACCTCCGAGCGGGCCAGGAGCCCGGCCCCAGCTTCAGGCTGGATCTACTGGTGGGTGGCAGCCCCACAGCCCACTTTCCAAGAAAAAAAAAAAAAAAAAAAGAGAAATGCACGCGCGTGCAGTGCAGGCTTAGGGCTCAACCCACAAGCCGAGAATTCAGGGCCGCCAATCCGCCGCAGCCAGTCAGTCCATCGCGAAACCCTCTCGACCTCAGCCCGCCGAGTACCCCCTTCATCCCGCCCGTCCGTCGACCGCCGTCACTTTGTCCGTACGAAAATCGATCCGACTCGACTCTGTTATTTTTTCTCCGTCAACATGGCTCACCCCGGTGCTCAGATGTGAGTTTCTTTTTTCCTTGTAGCCCCGCCGCTGTTTCGTGGCCTCGAGGGTTCTCGGGCAGATGGTGTGCCGGTGACGGCGACGGAACCGTCCGACCAAGGTGCTGCTGCAAGGAGCTGTCGGCCACGTCGGGACGAATTGGTGGCCGGGGCCCAGCCAAGATGGAGTGACGGTCAACGACGCCGCAGGAACAGGAACGAGAACAAGAACAAGGCGGTCTTGCTAACAAAACGTACCGTGCAGCTCCAAGCGGAGAAAGTTCGTCGCCGACGGCGTCTTCTACGCCGAGCTCAACGAGTTCTTCCAGCGCGAGCTCGCCGAGGAGGGCTACTCGGGCGTCGAGGTCCGCGTGACGCCGACCGTGACCGACATCATCATCCGCGCGACCCAGACGCAGGAGGTGCTGGGCGAGCAGGGCCGCCGCATCCGCGAGCTCACGTCGCTGATCCAGAAGCGCTTCAAGTTCCCCGAGAACTCGGTGTCGCTGTACGCGGCCAAGGTGCAGAACCGCGGCCTCTCGGCCGTCGCGCAGTGCGAGTCCCTCCGGTACAAGCTGCTCAACGGGCTGGCCGTCCGCCGCGCCTGCTACGGCGTGCTCCGCTTCATCATGGAGTCGGGCGCCAAGGGCTGCGAGGTCGTCGTCTCGGGCAAGCTGCGCGCCGCCCGCGCCAAGTCCATGAAGTTCACCGACGGCTTCATGATCCACTCGGGCCAGCCCGCCAAGGAGTTCATCGACACCGCCACCCGCCACGTCCTGCTCCGCCAGGGCGTCCTGGGCATCAAGGTCAAGATCATGCGCGGCTCCGACCCCGACGGCAAGGCCGGGCCCTCCAAGTCCCTCCCCGACGCCGTCACCATCTTCGAGCCCAAGGAGGAGCAGCCCGTTCTCCAGCCCGTCAGCCAGGACTACGGTGCCAAGGCCGCCGCCGCCCAGGCCAGCCAGGACGCCCGTGTTGCCGAGCAGGAGGGCGAGGCCGAGCCCGCCCAGCAGTAAAACCGCAAAACCGAGGGTCCGACCTGTCGCTGTGAAACAACGGAAGGAGAGAGAAAACCCCTGGGTCTGGGAAGGCACGCGGCGGTGGAAAAAAAAAGAAGCTGTCAACTGAGCGCAAAGGTCTCCTACACAATATGCCGATGATTATCCACAAGACCCGACTGGGGCGTCGGGAAGACGACTGACTGGCAAGGCGCGAGGCGGTTGGGGGGGGAAAGCCAAAGGGATATGGCGGTCTACTCCCAAGGCGTCAATTGATCTTATTTGCATCCGCTCAGGCATCGGACGGTTTCATCTCGTTTTTGATTTTTTTCTCTTTTGTAATGGTAGACCAAGCCATGAAAACGAATTGAGACCTGAGAATCTGATGAACGTGAGCTGCCGCAAGGAAGGCATTTGGAAATATCTGCACCGTGTGATGATGCCGTCTCCGCATATACGTGTATATATATGTATATATACGTGCGCGCGCGCGTGTGTGTGGACAGACACATGTCAACAAGTGGTTTGATATTCTTCTAAATCTACAAACCAGTCCCAGAGCCTGAACCGGCCTGGACACAACTCGCCGACATTGGACTCTGCCAGCGTCCCCAGACGTGTCCCCGGCTGCTCTGCGCATCAAAACATCGCTGCCATGAAACCGATTAACATCTCCTTGCCTTCATGTAAATGCATTCCGTGCTAGTCGTACAGGAGAGGGCTGTCGCATCCGCAACACTCGGAGTCGCTCTCCTTCCCATTTTCAGTGATCCAGACAAGTCCGCCGCCGCCGTCCTCCCGTAGGAAAAGGAGCTTGACCAAGAGCAAACAAGATGATGAGCAGTCCGCAAAAGCGGGACAAAAAGAATTTGTTCATAAAAGACGCAAGCGACACGTAACGCCGGGGTAAAAACCAAAGCAAAATGAAAATGAAAAACTCATTCGTCCCTGCTCCCGCACCCCCCAGATTTTTAAACAGCACAAAAAATTGCCTGTAGATTTGTCACTGCCCCCCGCCCAAACGAATTGCTTGCGTCACATGAAAAAAAAAAGGCAAAACAAAACGACAGGAATTCGAATCGTGTATGCATGACGATGTTGTCGACCGGCGAAAATCTTTAGTCCAAATGGTTGGGATGGTTGGGAATGTACAACGGCGATGTGTGTGTCCAGGGATAACATGCAAACGGGCAGCAAAAAGAAAAAGGCCACGAGGATGCAAAATCACTTGCCCCCACCCCCAATCTGTGAGATGAAAATCATCCCTGGTATGATATATGCCGCTCTTTGTTCTTTTTTTCTTTTTTTTCTTTTCCTTTTCCTTCATCTCTCAGTTGACTTCTGATTTTGTAATTCGATACCGTTTTCGAACGGTTGCTTCTTGCCATTGGCTTTGCCATTTGAGCGCCCGCCTTCGACTTCACTCTCTTCCGCAAGGTCAGTAAGTCCAAATCCTGCGGCTTCCTCTTCGTCGTAAGCCCGGATCAGTCCTTCTCTGTCGCCGTGATGGCTTCCGATGCTATGCCGTGACGGGTCTCCGCTCCGCCGGGATTGCATGCTGCGACGTGTTTGGAATCCAGATACCATGTCGGTGGGTGTTGCATCATATCCGCCTCGGCCGGCAATGAGCTTTTGACCGTTGGGATCCCCGCGTGAAAGGTTCAGCAGGTACACTCCAGTAAAGGTGACGAGGAAGCCGCAAAGCAGCGAAAGCGTGTTGACCGGATCGGTTGTGTTGAAGCCGCTAAACAAGATGAATGAGGCACAGAGGGTAGCTGTGGTAAATGTCACGTAGTAGAGAGGATTGACGCTGTGAATTACTCCATTAGCTTTCACCGACCAAGTGAAACGCCCGCGCAGCCAGTGACTGTTTGCCCCGACTTACATATTCGTGGGGAAGGAGGCCAATGCCTTGTTGAAATAGTTCATTTGCGTCAAGATACAGACGGCAGTCAGGATCAGGAACACATAGGTTGACGGATGACTAAACTGATTGTTGCCCGCAAAAGTAAGTTTTAGAGCGATGCCAAAGGCTTTGACAGACATGACGGAGATGGAGCCGACGGTTGAGCAGATGGACAGGTAAATGAGGGCATTCTTCTTGCCGTACTGGGGCGCGATCCTGTAGATCATGAAGACTGCAAATGCGACAACGGAAGTGGCATACAAGAGGAAACCTGCATCAGACGACGTGTCAAATGTCATGGGCGTGACGGACGCGTGCGGCGGCATTGTAGACAGAGGAGCACCTACCAGGTCGAAGTGCATAGTCCAGAATCTGGTCAATGGTCTCGATTTCCTCGTCAGGAGGAGCATGGAGGACAATGACTACAGCGCCTATGAGGCAGATGGCACTACCCAGCTTGCCCAAGGTCCCCAGCTCCTCTTTCAAGAAATATGATCCCAGAACGGCGCCGATGAGGACACTGAGAGCGCCAAGAGGTGTGACGAGAATCGCGGGGGCAAAGGCATAAGCTGCAAAATTGCAAACTTCTCCGATACCAACTGCGCCAGCAAAGATGAGCGAAAGATATGTTGAAGCAGTGACGGGGGAGACGTACGAGTCGCAATGCCCGCCCACCAGAGGGGACTTTTCAGGTAGACAAATCCATCGCCTTCAAAGCCGTGTCTTTGTTCGGCGTGAATCAAACCCTGTTGTGGCGCGTGTTAGATGTGGAACAGACCATTGTCATGGTCAAGGGCCCATCTGGAAGCACCAAGACAAACCTTTTTTGTAATGACGAAACTTGTACCTGGAAATGAATGGTGAGCGAACGGATTGCGCGCGCCCAGATGGTGCGAGAACATACCAATAGCTAATGCTGATGACATGGCAAGCGCCAAGCCGACATATCTACATCAGCTCGGTCAGTAAAGAAAACCGGCCAAAGTTGGGAGAAGATTCGCCAATTGCAGCACACGGGCAGGTAATCCCAGGCTACACCATCTCCAGGACGTACTTGTCTTCAAGCATAATGGTAGTGTCGAGCGCAAAAGGCGTCTCGGGATCTGAAAGGAATGCTCGGGGTGAGGCCGAGCAACAACGAAAGGAGAAAGAGAGGAAGCGGGAAAGGCAGAGGGAGTCGTAACGCGATGAAAGAACGAAGCAGCAAAAATGCGTCGCCGACAGCCTTCACCGGACTGAGTGTCTCGACGCGGGCGGAAGGGTGGCAGCCCAGGGCAACGGATAGACGGAATCGCAAATGGGAACCTGGCGCCGGCCCATGAAGAAAATATCGTAGGTATTCGCAGCACACGGCGGCGGTGCAAGCCGATCCAGCGGACGGGGCAGGACGACACAGAGGGAGAGGGAGAGAGAGAGAAGACGGGAGATGGGCGACGGGCGACGGGCGACGGGCGACGGGCGATGGCAGAGTAGACGACGGACAATGTGAGGGCGTCGTACGCAGCGGTGGCTGGTGGTTGGTTGGAGGGACTTGTGGTTCTCGCCGCTGTCGGCGGTCGGCTCCGTGTCGGGCGTCGCAGAATTCGCGTGGATGGAGAAGAAGAGGACGTCTAGTGTCTATCGGGGAGGGGGGCGTGAGGAGGGCGAATCAAAATCGGTGCGCGTAGGGAGGAGGAGGAGGAGGAGGAGGAGGAGGAGGAGGAGAACAAGAACAAGTCGAGGTTGAGATTGAGGGTGGTGGTGACGGGACGGAAGGTCGTCGTGGCGTGGCGGCAAGACGGTGGTGGGTTGAGACTTGAGGCTTGCGGGTCGCAAGCGCAGAGTTCCAGGCGACGGATGGGCTTGAGCACTGGCGCGTGGTGGAGGTCTCTCTTTTCTCCAGTCTCCTCTGTTTTGGCACATGTGGCGTCTGCTCAGGTCGGCTCAGGGACGTGTGGGGGGCGAAGTCGGCACTGGGGAAGCAGGAAGCAGCAGAGCCAGCGCAGCACGGCCAGGAACGGCGCTCGTCCGGCCCCACACCGTCCCAGCCCGCCCAGGGCACTGCGGTGCGGTGGAGAAGCGCTGCTGCAGGGACCACCATCACTTCTAAAGTTGTGGGAAGTAGGCAAAGTACTTGGAGGTAGGTACTTACGAGGCAGAAAATCAAGGACAAAGTCATTGCCGTTTTCCGAGCACGAATCAATTCAATATTCTGGCAGGCCAGGGGCGGTTCAGCGCCACCAAACCATCAGGTGCCACCCACGACCCACGTATACCTGCCTAGCACCTAAGTAGGTACCTACTTCTTAGTAAGCTACTCAAGTGCCTAGGTTAGGTACCTAGGTAGGTACCTAAGGTAGGTACTCGAGCAGGTACTTGGGTACGCAAGTGCCCGCCTATCAAGTCCGTTCTTTCTTCACTCTTCCACATTTCCATGTAGGGTCCACACCCTTCTTCACCCTTGAGTTTGCCGAACACGAGTCACTCGCTCACGCTTTTAGGCCCCGCGGGAACCTCCTCCCTTCCAGCACCACCACCGGCGCCGACCAGCACCACCGCTAATGAATATAGTGTACAGTGTACATGTACATCTTTTTTAACAATCCTCGCTTGTGTCCGTCTATCGGGTCTCGGTCGCCCTTTTCAACATGCAAGTTGTTACACTGTTGCACACTATTCTCTTCTCTTCTCTCCTCTTCTCTCCCTTTCTTTTCCTCTTTTTCGAAGAGAATAAAAACAACAACAAAAAACAAACAAAGAGCCACCCAGATGGACCTAGCGTGCCCTGTAGTTCTTCACCCCGCCACGTTTCACAACAGGACAAACACAATTCAGCACTGTTCTTTAGATTCTTTAGTCCTCCGGCGGGCCCTTGATCTTCATCGGTCGTCCCAAAACCAGCCAGGCCAGCTGCCGTCCAGAATCTGCCTCCTCGTCCAGCTCCAATAAACACTTGCTCATTGCTCGCCCTGCCACTGTCAAGTGCAAATCCAGGTGCGGACCGAGTTCGACGCCACCCATCTCCCGCAGGACGCGGCTACGAGCCGAGGCTCTTCTTTTCCCATATTACCCAACCGTCTTTGCTTCATCATCTTGGTGCTACTAGTACTATGCGTCGATGCCAAGCTTTGCCTTGACGGGACATAGGACACAAGTAGGGACTTCGCCGGCACTTTACGCGCTCGTCAACGTGGAGTTTCACACAGCATCTGAAATCATTACCCGCCTTGTCTATCTTGTCCGACATAATCGGTATCCTACCAACGCCGAGCTGATGCATATTGATTGCTAGGCATCGCCATCCCGACTACAATAGCAGACCGCTGAGACGCACCTCTGACGCAACCAGCTGTCGAATCGGTTCAGGGCGCTTCACCCGAGCAAGATTGAGAGTATACTTCACCTCGTAGTTGATAATACCAATCATCCGCCCTATTCGTTTTCCCTGTCCTCTTTTTTTTTCTTTTTTTCAAACCATGATGATTGAGACGAAGACGGCTTGCTCCCCCTCCTAGCTAAACGTTATCTACTGCCAAAACCCTAACTGTTTCAGCTTCTTGTGAAAATCGGGTATCGTGTTATATTAGAGTAAAGCAGGCCAAAAGCATACTCCTCCCCAGGAAGGACGAGATCCTCCTGAGATATCCATCCCACAGCCACATGCGATTGGCGAAGCTGCTTTGAACGATTAGTAAAGTCTGCTCTGTCCTACCTTTTCCAAATGAATCCTGGGCTCCAGCAAAAGCAGTAGGCGAGTGAGTATTGGGCCATCATCTTTTCCGGCTCCGCCAAGATCGCGGTCAAGATCCTCAAAAAACGTGTTCATCATGTCTGAGTTGGACTGCATCATCAGTCCGCCATGTTAGGGGAAGGGCATGGGGCCGTTTCGCCTGATACAAAAAATCTGTAGGGGAGGGAGGGGAAAGAGGTTAGCATCACGTGTGTGGCTCTTTTTTTTTGCCTTGGTTCAGTCTGAGCGTTGGCGCTTGACATCTATCCAGAGGTTAGCTCAGTTCGACAATGGGATCCATACATCACACACTTTGGTTATCCTCGGAACCAAACCCGTCATCTCCACGGGCTCGTTTGCCGGCACTGGATGACTCGTCCCCCGCGACTTCGTCTTGCAGACGAGGTTCCGCATCATCTCCCCAGTCAATTTGTGCGCCGTCATCTTGCTCAATGAGGTCGCCCACAGCGGCTTGGTCAATCATGGCATCGAGAGCCGCAAGTTCTTCGCCATCATCCTTCAACGTCGTAGTCGTGGTACTGGCATCAGTGGCACAGGGTTTTGCATTGGCGTCCTCCAAATAATCTTGGGTAGACTGCCCAACCGCCCCGGCTACGTCACTGTCGGCCAACTCCAAGGTCTCATCGAAGTCCGGGTCAATCAGATCGTGAACCTCGTCTCCTGGGTCTTGAGAACCTCCTTCAGGTACCTGGTCCTCATCCACCTCGCCATCTCCCACGTCGTCTTCTGGAGCGAGTGCGCCTGAGGCCACCGCTTCGTCAAAAAGTGGAGACACTTCTGCCGGTTCTCTCATCGCGTTGCCATATGGAGGGACAAGATCCTCGAGCTCGTTGGCAGGTCCGTCGTCTCCATAGTCCCTTGCAGTGCTTCCTTCTTGATCCGATAGTGAGTCTTCATCTACGAGCCGCTCCGACGTTTTCCCGCCAGTTGCTTGGCCACTCAACGTGTCCCCAACTCCTTGTGCGGTGTGGTCTTCAAGAGAGCTGTGATCGTCGTCCGAATGGCTACTCAGATTCTCGCCAGCTGAGATATCCCTAAGGCCAGTAGTGCGTGGTACAGGTGGTTGGAACAGATGAATTACTTCATCCAGTCCCTTGCCTTCAGTAGCACTCTCCATTAAAAAGTCGAATCGTCTGCCCGCACTAGGTCTAGTAAAGAGATATGTGTAGAGCGGTCGACTACTTTCAGGATCCTGGTTTTTGACCAAAATGTCAAAAACTTCGAGGATTTGCCTCAAGCTGATGTTGCACAGAAATTCTGGAGGTGATGACTGACAAGTTGTTAGCTGTCGATTCTGCCTGCAAGCTTGGTTTGTTGCCCAGACTTACTTCTGCAAACTCCAGCCCAAGTTCATCGACTTGAAATACAAGGTCATCTTCAGGAAGGAGTTCGTTCGCCAACTCGTCTCGTAAGCCACTCAATACTGACTTGAGGCTATAATCCAAAACTGAAAGCTGGGAGAAGAAACCCTCGGAGGAGAGCGAGAAAAATGGAAACTCATCTCCCCTGTATTGCACTGTGATTGCTGGAACATCATTCTCGTCAACGTCGGAGCATTCTAGGTCCACAAGAAGATCTTGATCGCCGTCGTCCTGCAGATCCGCATCGTCTCCGATTTCATCGCCAGCTGCTTCAAGCTCCTCAGACTGGGAATCTTCGGCTTCGGCGGCGCCACCATCGTTTAAGCCGGAAGCAACTTGATGTTCTGTTTCGGAATTGGATGGTTGATTTGGAGACATATGTTGGCCATTACTAGCAGTTGTTTCATGATCCTGCGAGCCCGCCTCCACTGGATCGTCCTCCTGTTCCCAGCTTATTTCATGATCATCGGCTTTGCGGTTCGGATCTCCGAGTCCCTGGACCTCCTCACCATGGACAGTCTCTTCTTCTGACTGCCGTTGTTCCGATGCAGTTCTTTTCTCGTCATCATTGATGGCCACCGGCGTATCGTCTTGCGTAGGTTCGTCAAAATCGTAGTCTATTTCGTGGGAGGCTTGTCGGCTCGCATCATGACCCTCACCAGTGGTTCCTGACTCTAGTCGGGGACTTTCCGTCTCGTCTTGTTCGCCACTCTCGAAAAAGTCCACTTCGTCGGGGGCATCGTCTTCACCTGCGGTTTTAGTGCTCATTTTCCCCAACACGACTTCTTCGGCACCATACACGGCGTCTGTAGTTTCTTCATGGATCAAGAGCTTCTCAGTGTCACTGTCATAGTTGATTAGATCATCATCCAGGTGTCTTTCAAGGCCAACCTGAGATGCCATGTTGACCTCCATTTCGGCCATGTGGGCAGGACAGGCGAGCCTGTTGGTTGTCCCAACTTCTCGCGGGCGGTTGCAAATGAAAGTGCCGTAGGTTTGACAGGGGCCGGGAAACGGTCAGGCAAATAATGTGAGTTCTGCTGGCGATGTGCAGCCTTCTTTCTGGGGCTGGTCGGCAGCTCCTATGTCGCGTCGCCCCTTGGCAGATGCGTCACGGTAGTTGAGTTTGGGGATCGGGATGCTGGCAAGCCGAAAATAAATCGGTTGTCACAAGTCTCAAGACAAGCATGGGTTAAGATGATATCAGGGTGAGAAGACGATGTTGAGAAAATGATTGCTCCCGCTGGGATGAGGTTTCTCAGGCAGTGAGAACAAAAGCTGCTGTCACAACTTAATCACGGGGCGAAACCGCAGCTCGATTGCTGACTTGGAGAAGTGGAGTGGATCTCAGCCCCAGAGACAAAAGGACAGACAGAAAAGACAAAATGGACAAACGAGCGACGACAGCAAGAACGGGTGGAAACACCTTGCCCAAGGCGGGATGGACAGGTTGTGTATCACACCGAAGTACGGAGTACTGGAAAGTGATATCAATACTGGTTGAGATGCTGGTAGCAAGACTTGACTGGGACGTACGGAGTGGCAGTACGGTTACGTACCCACCTCCCTTGCCCCTTCCCGGGCTGGCTCTGCCCCACCGCCAAGTCAACACACCTGACTTTGGGGACTTGGAATATTGGCCAGCTCGAAGGACGCACGCCCGCCATTGAACAGGATAACAACCGGCCCTCCTGACGATTGCAGCTCAACGTTCCTAAATTGTCATATTCGAACTGTCAAGATGGTACGCGCAGCATTGTCGAGAACTTCCACGGTATTTCCATCTTTGCTAATTGCCGCCAGGTCGTTCTCGCGGCGTCAATCTGCACCCGCGGCGGGAAAGCTGTCCTTTCCCGCCAGTTTCGAGAGATGCCACGATCGCGGATAGAAGCCCTCCTCGCCTCATTCCCAAAGCTGGCCGACAGCAGCACCCAGCACACCACCGTCGAGCAGGACAATGTTCGATTTGTCTATCAGCCTCTTGACGAGCTTTACATGGTCCTCGTCACCAACAAGCAGTCCAACATTCTCCAGGACATCGACTCCCTCCACCTGTTCGCTCAGGTCGTCACCAGCGCATGTCGAACGCTTGACGAAAGAGAGATTGTCCGAAATGCCTACGAACTTCTCAGTGCCTTTGATGAGGTGGTCACGCTTGGGTACCGGGAAAACCTCACAATGAGCCAGATCAAGACCTTTTTGGAAATGGAAAGCCATGAGGAGCGCATTCAGGAGATCATCGCTAGAGTACGTCTGCCATTGTAGCCGTCATTCGCTGTCATGACATGGCTTTTTAGCGGTTTCTTTGCCGCTCGCATACTAATGCCATTTGTAGAACAAAGAGCTCGAGGCTGCTGAGGAGCGAAAGCGAAAGGCCAAGCAACTTGAGATGCAGCGTAAGGAGTCTGCCAGGGGTAGCCGTGGAATGCCACGAACTCCGGTTTATCCGACATACACGCCTCCTTCCAGGCCTAGCGGTACCGATTCATACAATTCATATGAGGCTGAGAAAAACAAGACATATAACAAGTTGGTTCAATCTCCAAATCTGCTCTGCCTATTAGACCGTGTCCAACTAACCCACGTTCAGGCCTCTTGCACCCAAAGGGAAAGGCATGCAGCTAGGAAAGAAGTCCAAGACTACGGACATGTTTGAGAGAGTTCGCGGCGACATGGGCGGCGAAATCGATGACAGCCCGCTTGTAGCTCCTGCGGCGGCTGCTGGCGAGGCCATGGAAGCCCGGGTCTCATCAACTCTTGATCGCGATGCTGTTCATGTCACCATCTCTGAGTCGATTAGCGCCAGCCTCTCCAGAGAAGGTGCTGTCAAGTCATTGTCCATCAGTGGCGATCTTTCTCTTCGCATCTCCGATCCCAGTCTCACCAAGATCAAGCTTGGCCTGCAGGCCGTCACATCCCACGGCGCGCAATTCCGTACACACCCCAATGTCGACAAGAACTTGTTCAACGGGTCCAAGACGATTCAGATGAGCAACACAGCACGTGGGTTCCCCGTCAACAATTCAGTTGCTGTCTTGCGATGGAGAGCCTCACCAAAGCCGGACGACACCAGGTCGTGTCCCATCACCTTCACTGTGTGGATCAACGACAATGGTGGCAAATACAATGTCACAGTGGAATATGAGCTTAGCGGCGGCGACGCTCTGAGAGATGTCAGCGTTGTCATGCCCTACTCTGGAAACGAGCCGGTCGTGTCTAGCTTTGACGCGGCCTACGAGGTCTCTGGAGATGTGCTGGAATGGAATATCGGCTCGGTGGATGATGAGAACGCCAGTGGTGCCTTTGAATTCGAGGCTGAGGGGAGTGATGAGAACGATTTCTTCCCCATGACCGTGAGGTTCAGCAAGACGACACCATATGTCGATGTTGATGTGAGTCTTGTCAAGCAACAGGAGAAGTTGGGCGGCGGGCAGATGCTAACTCGACGTACAGGTCAAAAAGGTATCCCTGTTGGAGGAGGATGAGGAGATTGCATTCTCGAAAGAGGTCAAGTCTACCGCAGACAACTACTCTGTCGAGTAGACATGAAGAGGGTGAAGGGACTCGAGGGCTAGTTTTCAATACAATAGCAAGGAGATTCGTATTTTGTCATGATTGCACAATTTGTCATGATTGCACAAGACGACGCAGGCGTAGTGAGGGTCAGTCGGCGGTGAGGCCACATGATTGAAGAAACAAAAAGTCGGTTCGACAAGTGTGATGGGATGTATTTTCGAAGCCTGGGATAATAGACTTTTTGCTCTTTTAAGGAAGAGGAGGAAAATAGTAAGGACCAAAAAACGAGTAAGTCAAGTCGAACGTGGACGGACAAACCATGCATATGCATTGCATGGGTGGGGTTCGTTTGTCTGTCGGTCGATTTGGGCAGCTCCAACTCCAAAACACCGCCAACCTCACCATTCAAGTCACCCCATCCATCTCTGTTCACGCCGTCGACCTCGACGCAGCAACTGGTGTCGACACGATATTGCCGCTCCGTAGCTATGGGCTGTGCCGCGAAAGTCCCCTCTTTGACTCGTTGAGACGGCGCTCCGTCGACCGTGATAACGAACGTATGGCCGAGCCAAGGCGACTCGCGCTTCACAGCGAGACTGAGCTCGAGTCCAGAGCCCCCGTGGGTTTCCCGTCGAGTTGTCCCACGCTCGACCTGTCCGCCACGTGGGATGCCACCGACAGAAGTCTCTTCGTTTTCAGGCCGCCCCGTCAAGCTGTTTCCAGAAGCCACCAAGTTGGGGCGCCGGCGCCGGGCACGCAGCCGCCACAAGTGGTGACGGTGACGTGGAAACCAGATGGTAAGCCCCGGAGGCGGCCTCTCTGCATGTTGACAACATTGAATCTGAACAGACGCGGCTCACACGACCCGAATCAGGTCAATTCCTAGCAGTGGGATGGAGCGACGGCGTTGTCAGGCTCGTGGGCTTGGAGACTAACAAAGCTGCTCATCACATCCCCGTGTGCGAAGGGACCGACGCCAACATCTCCTGTATCGGCTGGGCAAGCTGCAGTGTCGCAAGCACATCGCCGCGGGACCTTCCAATACGCTCCAGTCATGGCTTGTCCCGAGATCGAACCGCTTCGGACGGCGATTTGCCTCCCAACCTCCCCCAGGAGCTCGCCTTCCTCGAGGTTGACACCGCCTTACCCAAGATCAGTCCCTTGCCTACCAGTAGTGCTGGCGCAGAGTGAGTTGATCGCCCGTCTCACTCCCTGGGCAAAAAGTGCACAGCAGGCTCATGACTGTTTCCAGTGATGATGCAACCGTATTCACATTACGGACAGGGATTGAGTTCTTGTTCCAGCCGCCCAGGCGGGAGGAGTATGATCAAGTCAACATCATGGCCGTGGGGACCGACGACGGCAAGCTGCAGCTAAACATTTACGACTCCTTCGTTGTTGGAGCATTCTCCAGTCCCGTGTCGGACTCGCCAGGCACGCCGTACATGATTTCTCACGCCGCCCATCCGCACCTAACAACACACGCTCTGGTCTTTGCGCGTACACGGACGGAGCCGGAACACCTCCATCTAGTCCCGATGGATCTCCCCTTCATTTCTTCGTCCCCGATTAATCTGTGCCTGTTGGCATCCAAGTTGACGACGCTCCAGAAACTGCTTCGGTATATCAGACAAACCCAACTGCACATGCAAGTCGAGTGGAAGAATACGCGAGAGCTACCTACCCGATTTCTGCGCAGTGTGCAGGGGGATCTGGAAGAGCTTCCAAGCGGGCCCCGGGGCATCGTCCCAGCACTGTATCACACCGTGGTGACTGGACACGCGTACGAGCCGGTGCGAGAATGGCTGGTCGATAGTCTCGCAGAACGTGTACGAGCTTTTCCAACCTCCGACGCGAGAGCGCTGTATGTACTCTAACGCCAAGTCTTCCAACAGGGCCACAAGCGATGGGACAAGGCCGTCGTCTCTGGCCTCGAAAATCTCCGCAGCCTAGTGCACGAGAATTTTCTCCCAGCATTGGAGCGCTGTGCCATTATCCTCAGTCGTCTGCGCGGTCTGGCCCAGTTCCACGACGACAGAGACGATATTGGATACTCGGTGACTCAAATTAGCCGGCTTCTCGACATAATCGGCTGTCTCAGCTTGGTTGGCCACAAGATACTGTCCAACGTGATGGACGAGCTGGAGCATTTCAACGCGTTTTCCACATGGCTACGATTTCAGATTGATCGTCTGGCTTCATCCAGCACGGCAGCAGACGAGCTCACTGAAAAAGAGGCAACTCTGGACACGTCAAAGGTTCTCACGTACATTGAGAGATATCTCACAAGCAGCCCACTGCACGTGTACTTTGACGAGGTCTCGCAGCAAGACTGGCGGGCCGACTTGGCTCACCTCGAAGACGGTGTCGGCCTGTTATCCATCCTTGACGCGCAGCTGAGGAAACAAGAGTCCGGCCAAGCATCCCGAAGAGCTCTCCAGCACGTAGGCTTCTTGGTATCGTACGTGACGACTTGCTCCAACCAACTATTCAAGGATATGGCAGAAGCTACGAAGCGAAGCGTGCGGTTCGGCAGGGCTGTCAGGCTGTCCATCGGCCAACCCATCACACTGATGGACACCCGAATATGCCATACTAGCAAAAACGCAAGTCGCCCGAATTTTCGCCCCTTGATTCAGAATAGGTACAAAACTAACCAGTGTACAGACAGGAAGGATATATATGGCGCTAGCATCAAAGTCATCCAGCGATAGGGGCAAGTATACAGTAGCCGCGTGCAACAGATAAAGCACATCTCTAATGGAGAGCAGTCTACCTATTTCGGTCTGGTGTCGACATCAAGAACGGCATCAGCAGTAACCCGCAGACTACGTCGACGTGCATTCGTCTTGAAGACAGGAAATTGGTCGACTTGAAGTTTTTAAATGACGAGACCTTGGTCCTTTTGTGTACTCAAACTGGTACTTGTGCCTGATTCTTTTGTTTTCCCCTCACCCCTGTACCATTCTCGACATCTTGGCACCTTCTAATTCCAATCAGATAACAATTCCATCGTCGCACTGGCCCCAGTGGAATCCGAGCACCTCAAATACAAGGCCTACGACTCATCTTCGGATGAGATACCAACTGTCGGGCTAGCCGGTTTGCAAGAGTTTGTCATTCCTACAGAGTACGCCATGCGACCTGTTCGAATGGAAGTCCACGACAAGACCGACCTTCGAGGAGAGCTTCCAATCAGAATTTACATGTTGTCGAGTAACAGGACGACGTGGCGGACGTTTACAATCCCGCAGTGATACCAGTTGTGATAACCCTCAGTAAAGACATGTGAAATAGACCATCAATCATCAAGTCGCTGTATGCGATGAGAAATATCCAAAGTTGTCGGCGTGACATCCTATCATGATGATACATTTGGAGTCGTGCATCACCACATGGGTCGGCTCTGGTGACGCTACTTTCGTGGTTTCGTAATGTTGAAGAACTCTGTCAACCCCTCCACGACGGCCTCGACATTCATGTTGACCAAGGGCATTCTGTCGTATGAATCATCTCTCATGATGGCAACCAGGGCCAAGTAACGGTCCACCTCCCTCAACATAATGGGCTTATTGCTATCGTGCAAAACGAGACAGCTCTCAGCCGTAGGACAGCCAATCTGCTCATCAAGTTTGGCATTCCATGGGTCTCCTTCCAATTTCTTAAGATTCTCGTCACTACGCTGCCACGTGCCATACACCTCTGTGATATCGATGATGACATCAATGTAGTCGCTGCAAATCTCGTAGCTTGCCATGTCGGCCGTTGCGCTGTCCGTAGCAATATAAATCTTGGAAAGCACATCGAACAGATATGCCTTTTCAAAGCGGCAGGTTCGACAGAGATTGGTAAGCATGGACTCGAGCGTCCCTAAGCGAGGAATGAGTTTCTGTATGACTTTGCTAAAGGCCTCGAAAATGGAATGGTTGTAAATGGATGTAAGGTGAAATGTAACCGGCGCGTTTTCGAATCCGTGATCAGACAATTCGTCTTGGATGCGGATGGTGATGTCGCGCTGGATATCAAGCTTGTAGTCGTCGGAAAGGCCGTCGACTTTGTGTATAAATACTTCAATGTTGATATTGGGGTAGCCGCGTTGCAAGAAGAGGATGGTGGCGTTGAGGCGGGACACGGCCTCGAGATAGTCGTCTTGGGCATCGATTACCCAGATGAGGGCGCCAATCTCACCAAAAATGGCATCCACATCAAAATTGGCGTTGTCGAAAACATCAATTTGCCCTGGAAAGTCCCAGACTTGGAAGTCCATGAAGGATCTAGCGGTTTTGTTAGCAGCTCAATGGGCTGAAAATAAAAAGTCATGGTTTCTTACGCCATAGAGTCCTTCTGTATCCGTGCTGTCGACTCCAAGAAAAGGGTCTCATTGGGAGGTAGCTTATGAAACACAACGCTCGAAATGGAGGATTTTCCACTCCTGCAGAGCTGTTAGTACGATGATTACCGTCCTTACTGAGACGAACAGCACTCGCCTTCTCTGGCCCATCAATAGAAGCCTAGGCTTTCCCTTGGGAGCCAAAGCCAAGGTGGATTGGCCGCGTTTTGCAGCTGCGGCCCGTTTAGCAGCATCTTTGTTTCGCGCGCCAGTAGAGGACTGTATTTGGATACGTTGTAAGATTAGTTCGGCTGGACTCATGATGCCAGAGGATGAACGGGCTGTTAGATTGGTATCGTCGCCCAATTCTGCAAGCAGGGTTTCGCGTAGAGGGGGGTTGAGCGTCATCGCAAAGCATGTATCAAAGGCAAGTGTTGAGGTACTGCGCACAAGATCACGAATGAAGAACGGACAATGGCAAACTTAATAGCCACCAGTTGAGCCAGCGCTTGCTGACAGCTTGGGCGAAGAGTGAAGCAAATGCCAATAGCAAAGTGGTCGGCTTGCCGAATATATCTGGCAAGACTCTCGTCATGGTCCACCACCCGACCAAACAACAGCCAACACAACTCTTACAAGTGCGAGTGCCATGTCACGAGGCCAAATGAATGTTGCTACCCAAATGGCCAAGACGTATGGGTTTTCGTCACCCAAGGCGGCCGCCACAGTCTCACGAGAAGCGATAGACTCGGGATTATCTGAGATATGAGAGCTCCCGGGGCAAGGCAGTGGCCGGTATTTGTCGTGTTGTCATCTTATATTAAGCGATACAAGCCACGCTGCTTGGTCTGGTCCCGACCTGGATGCGCTAGCGACCAGGCGTACGGCGAGTCATTTGGACAGATCAGAATCAATTGAGCAAGGACCCTCGGAGCAGTACGTCGTTGAGGCTCGGCGCGAGGCGCGAGGCAACGTGGTCGACCCATGACGGAGATATCCTTGCATCGGCCTCCAGATCGTCATGGAACCCGACGAGAAGTCGCATACGGTGCGATGCAGCAGCGAAATTGCAACAGCATGGACAGTCCACTAGTTGCATCACGCCAGCCCGGCCACACGATGCAAAGGAAAGTCTTCGTCGTGGAGTGGCCAGAAAGCGAAGATGCAAGCCAATGGTGCCGCTGTGTAACCCCTGTCGAGCACGCCACTCGGCAGCTTGAAAAGGGTATCGGAGTTGAACCGAGCCAAAACAATGAGGAAGAGACGAGGGCCAGCGTCGAATCTTTAGCTGTTGCCGAACTTGCGAGCCCAACGGTGATTTTCCCCTCTGCGCACCTAATGGAAACGAAGCAGGCAGTGGCTTGCACCAGTGTGCAGAGAAAACATTAACAGGACGTGCGAGCATGCAAGTCACTCACCTCCATTCTGGCAAGGCGGCGATCCCAATGGTTGGGAGATAGCCTGGGGCTCTCCGGGACACCCAAGCAGGCGCTTTGAAGAGTCGGGCGAACGAGCGAGTCTGCGAGTCCAGGTGATTTTGGGCCAAGATAGAACCGTGCAGCCGATATATGACCAGGGGTTGTCGGCGGTCAAGCTGAAGCTCAAGCGAGGTTGGAATAGGCCCCAGGGTCAGGACCAAGACGGAGAGGGAGAGTAAGTAGCACTCCGTACACAACCGAGTATGTTGGTTATCAAGTCCAGGAAGATGCACCGCCGTGTGGCGTGGCCTTGGGGGCGCCCGGGAGTGTTGCTGAAGCGGATTGCTCTGTGGATGAGATGGCGATGGTTGATGGTGCACCTAGAGGCCTCATGGACAGAGAGAGCAAGCACATGAGGAGGTTCAAGGCGGATTGACGATGAAGCTTTGAGGATGGAAGCAGCTATTGGCTAATTGGATGAAGAGTTGCTCTCAACATTCGGGGTAATGAATTATAGGGCGGGTTGGCTGGCTGGCTTTGTTGGCAGGAGACAAGAGGGTGATTGTGATTGGCCCGTGCCATGTGTGCGCCTTCCGCAGGCGGTCAATTGTGGGCCGGCAATCAAACGAAGATGCAAAGCCAAGCAAGGCAAGGCAAGGCAAGGCAGGTCCATGTCCGGTTGGCGCCTCGTGCAGGAAATGCCGACCTGACGACATCTTGTCCGCGGCAATCTCAAGCTTGATGCCCAGCTTCATCGTGGCACAAAGCACTTGGCCGGCAACGAGGACGGAAATCGCCCACCTCATACCTCATACGTGCAGGGGCATCAATTGCACATTACCGAGTACGGACTACGGAGTACGGAGTACCATCGCGTCTATTCTTCTACCCTTGTCAACAGCCGGGTGATCGGGATTCAGGACTCAGCAGCCAACTCGTCCGAGCCTCCTCGTATCGAGCGTCATGTCATGGCATGACGAACTATCGCCATGAAAGCAACCCGGCCCTCTGGTCGGTCTGTATCCTAGGACAACAGACCACCCAAGACTGGTCACATTATGCACGCATCCGCCATCATGGCATTTACCACTACCCACCTTCAGATGCTGACAGCGCCTCCATATACAAGTTGCCACGTCTCGATGAATGGAAGCCCTCAATTGGGCCAAAGAAATAGCTCATTGCTACTCTTTTGGTGATCTCGTGAACAGGCTTTGCATAAAAGCCTTTCTTTTGTTCCTTGTTTTCGTTCCTGATGAAGTCACCATGTCGATACTATTCTTGGGGGCCACTGCAGGTGGCATGACTGCAACGGGCGGCGCCGTATTGTCGTTTCGCCGAGACACCATGGGGTTCATCGATGCAGGTTTCCGCAGAGCCTACGACCAGACAAGATCAGACATGTTGAAATCAACACCAGAGAGAGAGACACGGCAGGATGCTCACCTTGAACTGTTGCCGCTCTCCGTTTCTGCCGTCCCCAGCTGATGCTCCCACCGCCGCGGCCAGCGTCTCTCCGCCGTAGCCCAGACGTTCCTCGACAATTGGCACGAATAGGACAAGGCCGCGTGTTGGAGTGACCCTGAGGGCTTGCTGGAGATGGGATTGGAATAACGCGGTATTCCGTCTGTTCGCATTGGCCATGACCTGATCCGGCAATGCAGTGACCGTCATGATATATGCAGGATCAAATGAGCCACCGAAGAGCAGACACATGCCGTGTTGTAAAGATATCACGATGGAGCTCATGGGGCGGCTGTAGCGGATGGACAAGTGGTATGCAAGCTCATTCATAAAGAGGTACTCGTTGGTGATCTTGATTGATTGAGCCTAGTCAGCATCGTACTGTTTGTCCGGTGCGAGACGGAGATGCCATACCACAACGCTGGTCTTGACCTCGACAGAGAGCGGCGATTCCCTTGGCAGGATAAATTCACGCCGAAGACCAATAGAGCTGCCATGAGCCGGCCTCCCTGAGATAGGCACGCGCGGTTTCGCCAGGTTCGGCCTCGGCAGGGCGCTGCCAGGGTCATGGCCGACGCTGTGACGTCTGTTGTCCGGCGCTCTCGCCTCGCCCTCCAGCACCGGCTCCAGACTGGACCGCCGCATGTGTTGGGGATTTCGTCTGTCGGCGTAGGCAAGCTGAGGGGATGGGGTGCGCCGAGAGGCATCGTCCACGATAGGAGTCGGCACATAGAGCCCATCTGCAGCCGGAGACGGCGCTCGTCGAGAGACTGGAGAGGAAACATCTGCCATTTTCAAGGCGATTTTCTCGAAACTCCACTAAGAAACGGAAGCAACCGCAGCACATCAGCGGCGATGTCACTTCTAGGTCCTCTTGAGATAATGCAACGTGGAGCGAGGCACGAAGACGGAGGAATCTGCCGGCTACTAGACCATCCAGAACGGCTGTGGAAGCTATCTGAAAGCGCGTGGCGCCCGAGTGAGAGAATGGAAGACAGGTCGGCGTAGATATGAACCTGTAACGGCCGCAATAACGCAACAAACAACGATACATGTGAATGGAGAGAGCCTCGCAACCCGAGGCTCGCGCCATGTGATTTCCATCCGCTGTGGATGGCACAGAGGGCGTAGGAATCTGGACAGGGAATAGGAACGCAATCGTTTACGAGATGACTCGCATTACTCCCATGTCGTGACACTGCTGCTGAAACATGTGTGTGTGCCACGAGCCATCGTCTAAACTTGCCCACGAAGCTGATGGAACCGGAGCGACGAGGTTTGTGGTTGGCCATGGACTCACGGGGCTCGGTAGATGTGAAAACTAGACCGATTTTGATTTTTTTGAGCAAAAAGAATAACTTTATCAGGTTGCCAAGATATCCGACTCCAATCTACTTCAGGAACGGACAAAAGACAGAACAGGCTCGAGACGTGGCTGGCCATTCAGCAGCTTTATTCCCCTTGCAAAAACGTCAGAGTATAGCGTGCCACTGTGCCAGCGTGAAGAAAGGGCAAAACGTAATCACTGATGTGCGCCATGTGCTCGAGGGATCCGAGGCATTTCCTAAGTGCAGACGACTTGCATCTTCTTCTCCATCATTGCTTGCAAGTAAGCCGTCACCAAGATGATCAATTCCAGGGGCACCAGAAGCACAGACAGGGCAACAGCAGCCTGGCTCTCTCTGCACAAGGTGCCAAAGTAGGGACGGGTGTACATGGGAACGCTTCTCCAGCGACAGGTCCAGCTGTGGAGGGAGTCGACCGACGCGGAGGCGTTGATGGCGTAGAAGAAGACCACGGTGACGAGGGAGGCGGTGAAGGCAACAACGGGGGCCGCAAGAATGGCCGCCGAGTGAGCCACGAGTCTACCTCGAACCTGAAGGGGGGGAGCGAATTCTCGTCAGAAGATGACGCAAACGACCTCGGGCGTACACACGCGCAATGACGACGACTCACAAGCTTGTTCTTGCTCGCGACCAAGGACACGGCATTCATGGCCGTTACCATCGCGCTGCCGGCAACCAACGAAGTGGTGGGCCCGATGTCAAAGTTCTCCGGCCAGAGAGGCAACAAAAAGTCGGCCGGCAAGTACGTGGCATTGTATACAGACAGAGCATCTGCGGAGAGGCCCAGGACGGCGATGCCAGCAACGAGCGCCAAGGCGGTCAATCCGGTCCGAAGACCATGGATGAGCTTGGCCCTCTGCACCCGGGAGCGAGACTGCATCTCGTTGGCGTCGACTTCGAAATCCGACGATGACAGCTCGTTTTTCAGGCTCGACGACATTGTTGTTCTCTTTTTATTTTATTTCACTTTCCGAAACGGACGGAGAGGCTTGTGCGAAAGGCGAGAAGGCTTGGTGAGCGGAAATCCCGCCGGCGAGGCAAGGAAACAGGGAGAATACTGCAAAAAGAAGGAGAACAAGACTAGATTGCCATGCTGCCATCGTCTGTCTACCTGGAGCAGGGGAAGCCGGCGGTGTTATAGATGTTGGACCATGTTCGAGCACCGCTGGACGTGACGCGCCCGGGCGCGCACATCAGCTGCCGCCGACATTTCCTGATTTGCAGACCAGTTGGATGCGTTGGTGGCTGGTCGCGGCCATGATGCTCATGCAGGATAACCGCGCTGGACGTGGTGGTGAGCCGCTTCTTGGCTCGGATTGGCCCGAGGTGCATCTGAAGTGGGTGCCATGGCGCTTAGGCAAGGCCGACGCCCAATCATGACGCGGTGCGGAGTCCATGTACAGGAGGAAGCGCCAGGCGGGACCAGGGACCAGATGGTTGTTGCCGTGATTGGTAGTTATTCCCATGGCCGAGGCACACTTACGAGGAACAGTTGACGCACATCATGCAGCCCCTTTTATTCGGGCGGTTGACGGCTTGAGACGGGGAACCAGACCTCCATGAGGCTTGGAGGCTTGAGACGAGAGGGGAGGAATGACGATGCTGTCGTTATTTCCTAAGCCGCGACGCTCGAGGTACGTAGTTGGTGCCTGACGAGAGGTCGAAGGGAGGGAAGGAAGGGAAGCTTGCTGGCAAAGGCAGCTTGGCATTGAGCACCGTGATGGTCGTCCCTTGCACGTACATGCACATTCGTCGCTGCAGGGCAAACGTCCAAGCAGGTCGAAATGCGCGCAGCAGCACCACGTTGCAACGCTCGAAAGTCATGCCAGGTAGGATATTGTCCGCAGTCACTGCCGACCGACGAGTGTTGGCTGACGTGACCGAAGGACCGATCGACCGACCGACAGACAAACAGACAGACAGGACTGTTTGTCAACGCAAGCACGACAAGACCAAGGCCAAGTGAGACAAGACAATTCAAGACGGGCCAAGACAGACGATGATTTCTCGGTACTCGAGATGCCAACCCTCTCCCATGCACCTCCATCCACTGGACGATGTACGGCGGGCTGGTTGCGCAGACGGCCCCTTTTGTCGTCTGGCCCATTTGGCCTCTTGAGTCTTGATCAAACCGTCAGGCTCCCTGGCCTGCCTGGCCTGTTCTCATTCATCCATTCCTCCCTGCTACCAGTGACCACTACCGCCGGCCGTCAATTTGCCATGTCAGGCCCGTGCAACGCCGAATCTTTTCGGATGGGGCCTCCAAACACTATCCAACAACACGGCTTCGACGAGTACAGAGTCCGGACAAGGCATTGGCATCCTTTCGATGGCCTCGGCCAAGACACACAAGACTGGCAACTGGCAACCTACCCCAGCATCCCGGTCTCGCCTCATCGGTGGCAAGCCCACGGAGCACAGACAAGGCTGGCGCCTCTTGTGTACGGAGAGTAGACAGACGTAGGAACATGCCCCGGTCGGACTGTCGCACAATGCTCGACCGAGTTGAACAGCCGCAACCGCAGCCGCAGGCTCTGACGGTGACGGTGACGGTGACGGTGACGGTGACGGTGACGCTGGCTAGTGACGAGCAAAACATGGCAAACTTTCCAAACTAACAGTAGCACGGTTCATCGATCAGGACCGCTCCGTTGCCAGGGGTACGTCTTCTCGATTCCTGGGGTTGGCGGCCTCGATGAATAGTATTGAATATTCGGGCCGCTAATAAGCAACAGCCACCGGTGAAAGCAGTCATTTGTGTAACTTGTGTTGGTGCTGACTCTCCGCGAAAAACCAGCGCCACCTTCAACGTTAAATCTCCCACCCCAGGTATTGTGGACCGTGAACGAGGCACTCATGCACGTGGTGTCTGAACGCCAACAGAACCCACTCAGGGAGACAAAGCTGCCATTTCATTGTGCTGACACGATGCTCGAGCCGGCCCAGAGGCTCGGAACGCCTGTAGCACCGAGGTTGGAATCGACTCCATGGCAGCAAAACCTTCGCCGTATTTCCGGACAACGTTTTCAGAGTTATTGTGCTTACTCTACGGAGTACGGTACTGCTATCTCATCTGTACAATACGGAGTACTCCGCACCACATATCTTTGATCCCAGCAGACTGGCAGCCAGGGCCATTTTAAATAAGTCCCCCCACCTGGACCTTGTCATACCGAAGCACTGACAGCGGGAGCTATTACGACACTATACTCTGTCTGTATGCATGGACGTGGTTTGATAGCCGCCCCCTGGTCACACACGACGAATAGCCAGGCTGGCAGACGAGGGAGGAAGTGAAGGTAACTTAACTGATGGGTGAGCTAGGCAGGCTGCTGACCGACGTTGGCCTGCAAGCCGGCCAGCCAGGGTCTCAATGGCATGACCTCATCATAGCTTCCCGACTTGTTTCCCCGTCTTCAAGAGCCTGTGCACATGATACCCTGCAAGCGGTCCCGACAGATTCGTCACCCTGGTATTTTTGGATTAGTATAACAAGAAGGAAAAAGGAAAAAGGAAAAAATGGATTCCTTTGGTACCACTACTACTACGTACTACTTCTACTACTACTCCTAGTACCACCACTACGGAGCACTACTACTAGTTGCAATGGTTTCCAAAAGGGCCCGCGCCACGCTACCCGTGTCACACAAACCGGGTGGACCTGAACGAAGCCTCTGGATAAACAGCAATCCTAGGGTCATTACCCAATCCTGTGGTAGCCCAACACGGACGGCAGATTCCAGTATTCAGCGGCAACAAACATTCTCTACAAGTACGGTACGAGGTATGGCTCCAAGAATACTGCAATACCCGACTGAAGCGGAAACCGACGGTGCTGCGGCTTGGCAAGTTGCGCGAGCGACGGCCTCGAGAGGACGACGGCCATGTGCGACCCCTGCAGGACAGGACAGGACAGGGCACTCTCCACAAGCTTTCCATACACAGAACCTTGCTCGATGTTGTTGCACCAGTTCGCGCCCATGATCCAGGTTTCCGGGTCCAGACACTACCGGAAACATTTCTTCGACCCCGGGTTAGTGGCTGATCCAGAGAACAAGCGGCATTGTTGTACCATGTGACCGAGGTTGCCGCATGGACGGCAAGCACGAAAGAAGATGGAAGCCATGCTCCCGCTTCTACTTGGCGGGCAAAGATGGCGTCTCAGCACAGGCTGATTGCTACCGAGTTGAAGTGCTCGTACGTTCCTGTCTTTTCGTGCAAGACTCCAGAGTACGTGATGATTCGGGTTTGGGACTGCGCACCCCTGGCGGTCGACTCCTTCCCCACGCCGTTGAACATGTTTCACAAGCCACAGAGTACTCAGTCGATGGCTTTTCCGACAATTGTCGCGGGACCTGCGCGCGCTTTCTTTGGAAACAGCCCCTAGCAACGTCAAGTCAGCACTGACGCTTGCGACCACAAACACCGTCACATTTGCGGCGGAACCCGGCTCAACAAGGCTGCCCAATAGTAGCTCCCTGGCGGCTTGCGAGGCTTCACCCTCCTGGGCCCAGCGGACTGATATGGCAAAAGGCCGCGCAGGGCCGATGGTGTCTACGTTCTGGCACCAAGGCTTGCCTACTGAGCCGGCTCGAAACCGTGTCTCATCCACGACCAATGGAAGCCACGACGGTGACGAAGAAGGGATAGCTCAGCAAGACGTTCAGCGAGGTGCCCACCAGGACGGACCAGCAGGGAGGGCAACAGGAGTATCTCCCATTGGCCTGGATACGGGCGGGTGGGAGGTTCCGAAGCCACCAGCAGCAGCCCCATGCACGTCCCAGCCGACGGTAGTTGCACGAAGGCAAGTCAGCGAGGCCCAGAGCCGTGCCCTGCCCTGCCGTGCCACTGGCGATTTGAGACCTCGGGAGAAGGTTCCAACGCGCACTCGGCGGTTGACCGCAGCCAGAAGAGCCGGCGGTATTAATACCAGAGTTTCTGCTGCAGCTCTGACTGCCCGGGGCGCCAGGATCATGACCGCCGAACTCAGGGCCCCGGTCCACCCGCTTGACGACGCGTGGACGTGGACGTGGACGTGGAGAGGGGGACAAGGGAAGATGGAACTCAAACTATTGCAAACTTGGCATCAACGTTGGAGGAGAGTGGAGGACGAGGTCGAGCTTGAGTGGCCGCCCCGGACACTAGGCGCACCCCGTCATGGCCCGGGTCGACGGAATCCCAGCAACCATGGCCTGCGCCGCCGTCTCGTGCGATTTCCAAGGCGTCGAACGAGGACATCTCCGAAAGGTCCGTTGTCTTGCCATTTTCGGCCGTGGCAGTAGTAGTTCCTTGCTGTCCATCTCGGTGCCCCTAATTTAAACATGCCTGCGGCCAGTCCAGACGCGGCATGTCATCTTTGGCAAGCTCGGCCTGCAGAGGCTCCCAGACATGAGTTATCTTGGTTGTCCTCTCAAGTATAACAGCTCCCCGCCCACCTACCCCTCAGCGGGAAGGCCAGACGGGGCGAGAGGAGAAGACGACGGTCAAGCGTACAACTACTACAATCACTTCCTTCCATGTCGGCTCACTTGACTTGTCCCCGCGCTCGCCTGGACAAGATGGGAGCTCTCTGCCATCCGACGCAGCCGTCTGCAGTCCGAACACCCGGGATGGATGACGAGACGGCGAAGCTGGGCAAGGGTCCCGAGGCTGAAAAGCCTGCTGAATTTGTAAGTCCTCTTGTGAGGTGGTGGCCGTGTGTGAAGCGCATGCATGCTGCGGCCGTGTTGTCGTGGCTCTCGAGACTGACGACACTTGCCTCCCTGCTCATGGGTCACAGCCGCTGTTCTCCAAACTTCCGCCAGAGCTTCGCCTCAAGATATGGAACCTTACTCTGCCCTCTCTGAGACTGGTGTCCATTCACTGCGGCGCCGATTCGCCTTCGCTCTGCTATCCACAACATCACACTACCAAGCCATCATTTACCGGCTGCACCTCTGATGTTGCGATACCCGTCAACATGCACGTGTGCACCGAGTCTCGAGCCGAAGCATTCAAGAGTTTCCAGTACGCCTTTGGTTTCGTGCGCACCCCGGGACACATCATCTTCAATCCGGATAGCGACATTCTTTACTTCGGACCTCGACAAGGATACATGGCTGCCGACGCTCAATTCCACACCTGCATGTCAATGTGCGACCCGGCACAATTGGCCCTCGTGCGCCGAATCGCCGTCAGCGATGCTCTGTTCTGGGTTGACCGCGTATACAGCTCCACGGCGGCCGCGAGCCTGACAACAAACGTCATCAAACAACTGGCATCACGAATGCCTGCGTTGGAGCACATGATATTCGTGCCCCGTGAACAGGACGAGGCGACGGACCCAGCATTGACGGAAGAGAGAATGAGCTGCCAGATTCACATGGCCATACACACTGTCTGCCAAGAAGACTTGCACTGGCGCCCGCCGCCCTGGACAGTCATGTCTTTGCGGAAGCTAACCGCAGCCTGCGGATGAACGTGAACAGGTTGAGAGGACAGTACCACCAGTCCGAGGAGAAAAGCAAAGAGTGGTCTTGACTCAAGGCTGAGACACGACGGCCCATAACCTTGACTCGCCAAGCCATGTATGGAGTACATACCACTGCAGAGAATCAAGTGTTGGTGGTTTGAGCACGGCCTTGTGACAGGAATCATCCGCTTCACAAAAGAGATGGACGAGATGGATCGTCGCCTAACCCTCGCCACCCCTCGCCACCATTTCTCGCCTTGGCGCGGCCCTCAGTGACACGGGAGATGCCTCCCTCCCCTGCGTCGGAGCTTTTCAACCCAATGTTGCAGTCGCATGTCTTTGCGGGCTGCGGTCTGACCCACCCAGACTCTGCTGGTGCTCTTGGCCGTTGCATGCCGAAAATATACAGCCACGACATCAACCAGACTTGGCAGTGACGACGGAAGGAGGCAAATTGCAGCGAAACAATTCCACCGGGTGTGAGCATGCATCAGCCAGGTCCCGGGAAAGGTGCTGACCCTTGACCGTGCCCCCCACCAGCCGTGCGCGGCATGATGCCAGAGGAGAAGGCATGCCAGAAGGCGACTATCCATGGAGGAAAGTCGAGACAGATATCAGTCCTGTTGTTTCTGCAGAGCGAGGGCAAGAATATTTTCTTTTTCTGTCCATGTCCCATCATGCTGTCTTTGGACATGCAAAAAGGCCTCTTCATAGATTTATATAATAAGGCGAGCGGCAAATAGAGCCTTCAGGCTGGCCTGTGTTGGCACTCGCGGCGTGTGCTGAAACCATTTATTCAATGGATACTACATTTGGTTACTCGAGACTGGTAACGGTAATAGTCTACGTCCGAGTCAAATAGTCATTGGACACTTTGCCATTCTTGTTTGCCTTGCCCTCCTGGCACCTAGACTTGCCTTGCCTGCCTACCACCTGCGTCCCTCTGGTCAAGTGTTGAGCCTCACGATTGCTGCGTGTTTGACACATAGCCATGTATTTATTTCGGACACGGGGGACTAATGAGGAAAGGAACGGGGCGCTCCGTTGCGGCGTTTGGGCCAAGACGTACGTACGCACGGCCCTTGCATGAGAAACCTGTCCGCGGCAATGAGATGAGATGAGCGGGAAATGTAGCAACGCGGGACGGACCAGATCGACTGCTTTGCCCTCCACCCTCCACCCTCCTCCCCCCTCCCGTCCTGGGATATTCCCAGATGCGCATGCAGCTTCGTCGTGCATGGAAAATCTCCGAGAGGCTGGATCACAAGCACTTGCCACTTGCACCCGAAGAGTCTGGCGCTGGCGACTGCACCTCTGATTTGCTTTACCGCCGGCCGCCGTGCCTCTTCTCCGAGCGGTCTCGCGAACCGACGAATCGAACGTGCGTCTGGTCCTGCGCCGTGCTTGCTTTCCCGAGGAAGAGACAATTCTGTCTTGGGCGCCGGCAAGAAGACCGTTCGTTTGTCGTGGCTGGCGGCCGCGAGGCGGAAATTGGTTTCATCAAGAGGCAGCTCTTGACACCCTGCGTGGAGGAGACATCTGCTCATCCAGAAATACTGCTGCCCAAAGCAAAAGATGGGAAGGAACGTTTCTAGGACAAGCTACGTGTTTGATCGGAACGTCCATCGATGCTCCTTGGCTACGTATTCTCAGGGGGACCGTCAGAATTCTCTGCTCCCTGACGACGAGATGAGACGCGTCTCAAGTACTTTGCCAAGATAGCTGACATGTTGTAAAGTATTCCAAGGTTTGTGTCACCTGGTAGATATGTGTTTAAGAAGAACGGCAATGCTACTTCAGTAACACCTCAAACATCGACATCGGCCAACTTGATACAGGAAACATGTTATATTATCAAGGTTGGTATGCTGAAATGCACAGGTTGGCCTCGGTGGCGCAGCTGGCAACTGCGCACGACATGAGGAAAGTTCGTGTCAGATGGATGCTGGCGTGACTGAACACTCGTAGCGGATGCTGCAATGGCATCTCAAGGCTGAGGTCGTAAGCCCTCGCACCGGGGCGGCGGTAAAGGCGTCTGGGTGCCGAGGACTTTCCCACCTGGCGGACTCGACATCATGTAACAACTTTTCCCGGGCAGCTTCATTGATACGAGCCGTCCACATAAACCAAGCAGGCCGTCGTTAGCGGGCCCATGTCACCACAAGTGACTGAATGGAATAGCTCAGACTCCAGCACGATAGAGCTCGTCATGGCCGCCCCATCATGACTGGCGGTCAAGACAGCCAGACCCTGTATTTTTGCATCGGAGAAAGCTGTATGTCATGGCTATGTGACTGTTTTTTCATGTTGAATGCCAATTCCTTTCCGACGACCCCGGACGAGTGCCCCGAGAGCTTGGCCTACTGCTGGCAGGTCTCCGAGCATCGTAAGGTGGCCTCTCTCCGTACTGACTCTGCCCGAACGGACAATAGAATACCCCTCAGGCAGCATTGCTTCTCGTGCGAGAACCACCCCATCTCCAGGCCGAAAAACTAAATCGTCATAGGCATCTGCGCAAGGTATTGCCTCCCGCCCTGCGACTTGGGCTGCGTATACTGTCGGAATTGTCTTTCCGTACAAAACGGCGTGTGGCGGATACGCATTGGATGACTCGAGCTCCTCAGAGTGTGCAAGCTCAGACCGAAACTTACGGGTAGCGGCAAGCGTCCGCCTGAGATACTTCAGATGTCGTTCTTGATCTGTCGTCACTGTATTCCGAGTGCCTGAGGGAGGCGACGGTGAACGAGGCGGAGATGGGAGCGGAGCGGCACCGTGATAGTGGGTCTCGCCCGGGGCAGGAACAACGTTCCGAGTCTCATGAGCATCCGACGCCTTCTTTGTTTTGAGAAGTGAATTCGGGAACAGGGAAGACAATGGCGATACCAATCCCTGCTGTTTCGCACGGCTATATGCAGGTAGGGCTGGTGCCACACAGGGACTGAGACGCCATTTGACCCAATCATCGGCATTGAAAAAGTCAACTGGATACGGCTCTCCAGTTTCTTTGTCGATGAAGCAGAAGCCATCATCAGGGAGCAGTGCAAATGATGTACGGATCGAGAAATTGACTTTGGCGGTGAGCAACTTCTCATTGAAAAGGACTGCGTCACCATGGCGGAACGGCCCTAGGATGTTGATACATCTCTGAGGAACTCCAGCGTAGAGCACACCCGCAAAAAGATGTGGCTGGAGGTTAACGGCATGTCTTGTAATGAGTCCACCTAGACTGTGCGCGATGACGAAAGCTCCGCGAGACTCTCGCGATGTCCCGGGCAGATTAGACGGCAACCTTGACAGAAACTCCTGCAATTTCTTTGATGACAAGGCAGGGCTCAGTCGCCAATCATACCCGTAGTCCCATACTCGAAGACTTCCATCGCGTACATTTGGAGAGGACCGCAACTTCCTGAAAAGCTTTCGTGAAATATCTACCGGGCCCACATGTTTGAGCATGCCCGAAGGAGTGATTCGTTCCTCCATGGTCTCTTCATCCTCATCTTCCAATCCTACTTCTAGGTTTGCTTTGCGCATGTTGAAGCCCAGTTTGACTGGAGCCCAAAGTTGCTGGTGTGGTGGCTCTGCTGATCGTAGCACGGAGCCGCGATAGCCACCCAAGATAACTAGATCACCAGTCAGGTCTTCCAGAACACCATCTATCGTCGGAGAGGAGCTTGCCTTGAGAGGAATCGGACTCGATTGGCTGGTGGACAGGTCTCCAACGACATCTGGCCTTTTTCGATTCAGTGTAGTTTCTTCAGTTTGGCTCGAAAACAACCCGTTTAGAGAAATCGATGACATGCGGGACGCCGCCTGCAAGCGGGGAAAACTGGGCATCTTGAAATTGGGTACTTCTGGGAGGCTATCCTTGATGGCCATGAACCGGATGTTGACCATTTCTCGGACATCGCTAAATCTGTTGTCGTCTCCCAAGGAAGACTGTCTTGACAAGCTGTGGTAGAGAATGCTTTCGTCGGAGGTAACGCGACGCAGCACGGGAGGCCGCGGCCGTGGATTGGAGGATAAACCAGTCCTTGATATAGCAGAAGGCAGTGGCGCGTATGCGTCATTCTGTTGTCTTTCTGCATAGTATCTGACACGGGGGGCGGTGTTGGTGTTGGATGCTTGCATCAGTGTAAAAGATCGAGGACGACGACGATTTGCCGCGGCGCCTTGATGTAGGTTATGTTTGTGATCGCCTGTGAAGCTAGACAGGAAAGAAGTTGGCAAGGAAGGCAAGAGATTGCCGTGACCGGCAAGTGATGGGAATGCTTTTTGAAGCCTCTTTAGAGCTTCTTGCCCCGCGGATCGTGAACGATGTTGTCTCGTCGGGCCGAATGCAGATCCAAGCACCCCTCGGGCTTGACGTGAACGGGTGGTATCCTTGTCAATGATGGAATCTTTCAGACTTGACACCCAAGGTGCAGGCATTGGCAATTGATCTGCCGCCTGAGAGCTAGATTCGGTCATGACCTGGCCATGAGCCACCACCACATCTCTTAACCGGGAACTTTTCGTTGTCTGAGATGGCGTCCCAACATCCAGAGTGTGGTCATTTTCCCTTTCTTCTTCTTCATCGCCCTCGGTGATGGCGCTACCAAAATAGCCGCCCCCAGGCACACGTTCAAGAGCTGCTGCCTTCTCCGCCGCTGGAGTTTGAGCAGAGGTCATATGGCTGGCTGCAGCGCTGATGGCTGGTTGGAGAGCAGCTTGCGCTTCGTCTTGATCTTCAATTAGCGCCCCATAAGACAAATTTGCCTCTTCAATGCCGTCCGGAATATCATCCACTTCTTTTCCTCGGGGAGGGGAGGTGGACAATTGTGATCGCATTTCATCCGCTACGTCCGGCCGCAGGAGACTTGGCTGATTTGGGGTGCTCATTTTTGCCAACAAGCTAGTTTAATTTTAGAAAGAGCGGAAAAAAATGTGACAAACTCAATGGACTGAATTCAAGGTCGTCTGAGAGGCCAACTCAGTGCGATGACCGCATAAGGGCTGTTGTTCGAAATCCTCCACGGTCACGGCTGTGTACAGCCAATAAGAGGGCCTTTGGGAGTCTTGTTATCTTGTAACTAACTGCAGCAGGCGATAGATGCTTTGTTGTAAAAGTTGTCCAGGAAGAACTAGGCTGATGCTTCAAATTGTTATGGCTGTTTGAAGTGACAAAGCAGACAATGTGAGGTTGAAACGGAAGGGTTTCCGTCAGGAACACGGAGTAGTGGGAGCAGATTCAAGAATAAGCAAGGAAGTCTGTCTGAATAAACCGGATGGCCGGCATGGCTCCTTATGCGCAGGCTTGTAGCAATAAGTGGATCTCGGGTAAGACGAAGAGTTCTCGACTGTGTGATCACTTCCTGGAGCGCCGGTAAGGATGGGTCTAGGGCTGGAGTTGAACTGGGTTCTGCTAGGACCAGGGTGGCAGACTAGACACAATCTGTCGTTCCAGAAGTCCGGGACAGCCGACCAGAGAGGAGCGCGGGAGCCCAAGACAGAAGGACGGCCATTATACATTGCGTTGCTTTCGAAGAATTCTCCCAGTCGATTGACGATTGGCAAAACAACGTTGTCAGAGTCGCGATAGGGCCTCAAGGCTTGACGTATAGCCGCTGTAACCGATGGGCCTTGGCCGTCGGTCCATTCAGCATCGATGGCTGACAGCAAGTGGTTTCGGTGACGTCGTCTGACGCTTGAGACAAGCACAGGACATGCAGACCCGCTTCGCCAGCAATTGTGTTTGGCGAATGGCCATTAGAATCATCCAGACGTGTACTCCGTATCTGATTCCGTACAATTCATTGTCTTGGTGAAATCAGTGGGTCGTCTCCGGACCAAGGCATCCCGGTTCGAAGCCGACCAGTACGCAAGTCCGCGTTCTCCGGCCTCGATGATGTGATAGTACTCCGTAGCAGTAATACAAAAAGGACTGGCAAATTGATGTTGAAGCAGAGATGGATTCCAGCCTCCGCAGAATCGGCTCACTTGCGTAGAAATGAGCAGCCACGCCGAGCAGGCGGGAAGGAGCAAACAGCATCAGGTGAAGGCAAGAGGCTGGTCAACGTGCCACACCCAACCAGCTTTTTGAACCCTGCAACGCTGCGGGGCACCCCATCGGCAGGGGGGCCATGGCCGCTCCTTCCTTTTGCCAGCTTGGCGGAAAGGCGCAACTCCAACTTCCATGCCTGAGAGCAAGACCACAACTGCAGGCCATGGTCATTCAGAGGCCATACCCATCATTCGAAATCTTGGCCATCGTTTCCAGCCTATATAAGGCACTGCAGCCCCCTCGCCCCGATCGCCTTGTCGAGAGCCGATTTGAGCACTACAGCACAACCAACTGTGTCCTCTCGGTTCGTCGTCGAGCGCCCACTCTCTCGGACAAAAGTAGCGGCCGACAATGACTACACTTGTGCCTCGGACACCGTACAGCGATGCCGAGCTGGCAACGCTCTACCCTCCGCAGCTTCGCCTTCATCAAGTACAAGTTCTTCTACGGCACGGCGAGCGCACGCCGGTCAACGCGCGGTTCACCAATGCCGGCCTGGCACCGTTCTGGCCCTATTGCACTGCAATGAGACAACTCCGCAACGCCGTCCTCGACCCGAACACAGACCGCTTCTCAGTGCTGGAGTGGAGGAGACGCCTCGAAACCATGGGGCCAAACGATGCCCCCGTAATGGCATCCGGACCAGGCGGCGAATTGGACGATATTTGCGACATGGGAATGTTGACAGACCGTGGCCGCGAGACTACCTTCCAGCTTGGGCAAAGGCTTCGCAAGCTTTATGTCGATCAGCTTGGCTTCCTGCCTGCCGGTGTCGAAAACACCGACTTTGTCTATCTCCGTGCCACACCTGTTCCTCGTGCCCTGGAATCCCTGCAGCAGACTCTCAATGGATTATACCCGCTGCACACCCGCGCCGAGAACTTCCCTCCGCCCACCATCATCTCTCGTACCCTCGCGGACGAAACCTTGTTCCCCAATGACTTCAATTGCCGCCGCTTTGCCGCCCTGGCCCGGGCCTTCGCGCAGCGGGCTGCAGAGCGCTGGAACGACTCACAAGATATGGCCTACCTCAACGCAAAAATTGGCAAGTGGATGCCAGATGAAAGTCCCAGAGTCGCCGTGGACTCGCGTCCTCGGCTGAGTGGCATCATGGACACCATCAATGCAAGCGCTGCGCATGGCCCGGAGACAAAGCTTCCGAAGGAATTTTACGATTCCAGAGTCAAACTAATTCTGGAAAAGATAGGCGTAGAAGAGTGGTACGCCGGGTACAAGGAAAGCGAAGAATACAGAAGACTCGGAATCGGCGCTCTACTCGGCGACGTCGTCTCGAGGATGGTCGAAAGTATAGAAGCTTCCACCGATACCGACGACGCCTTGAAACAACAGTCCCACAAATCACCCAGAGTCCGCCTCGGCCTCAGTGGATGCCACGATACGACTCTCGCTGGTGTTCTCGCCAGCCTGGGCGCTTTCAACGAGGAGGCATGGCCCCCGTTCACCAGCCATGTTGCAATTGAGCTCTTCCAACATGCGGCAACCCGCAACGCTTCTTCAAGTCAATCTTAGTGGCCCTCCCTCTTAAGTGGTTCAAGGTCAGACAGCATCGGTCGCAAATCGACGCCCGAGTTGAGCCCGCGAGAAAGAGAGCGACTACAGGGGTACTTTGTCCGTCTCCGCTACAACGACAGACCTGTCACTATCCCCGGATGCAAGATGCAGGGCAAACACCTTGACGGTGACGAATCGTTTTGCACCTTGGTAAGTCTCCCTCCATGCCTGACATTGCCCAAATCCCTGCGGACTGATCCATCCACCAGGAGGCATTCAAGTCCATAGTGGACAGATTCACACCCCGTGACTGGAAGCGAGAATGCCGTGCGAATATCAAAGCTCCCGCTTTCCCTGCTAAGCCTGAACCCGCAGGCTATTGACCTTTGGTTTGGATTCTGAGGTGCTGCCATACTTGCCCAGATGGTCAAGGACCATTCGGAACTTTCGACATTTCTTGTTTTTCCTCTTCTGATGATTTGATGGCCATGTTCCTCTCTTGCTTTCTCTCTTTCTAAATCATGCTTGGCGTTGGTTTCAACTCTAGACCGACATTACGAGACTACAAAGGAGCCATTGGTTGACCCGTCCTCAATCATGACATTTCCATACTCATTGATGTGGATGCGGAAATAGATTAAAGAACGGTACAGTACAGGTGTGAAGTACGAAGCTAGGGGCGAACTTGTGATAGAATCGGGCACTAGTTACCTTTTCTGCCCCATGTCAAATACCTCTTTGTACATATATTCACTAACAAACGCCCTCAAGGAAGCCAGGTGAACCGTGAAGACCCAGAGTCGTGTCTTCCGCATCCAGTTACCATCAATCACTACTGCTACCACTACAGGTCGCGCATGTTCTCTCTCTTCCCTTTCCGCCCATCTGTATAGACGCAAGACCCTCCCAAATGCCGAGTGCTCATCTACTCCCTCTCGCAGACACACATTCATCTCTTCGCTCCCTCCACCTCCGCCTGCCCCAATGGTCATGCCAACAGCCGCTAAATGAGCTGACAAAAATCTTTTCCTTCCCCTTGACCACGCCTCGTCTTGTGAAATGTTACCGTGCTCAATGCTCTTTGTATCCACCTTTTCAACGTGGTAGCTAAATTCCGAAAAAACAAAGAATAAAAACATCATATACTGGCAAGGAGTATTTATCAAAAGTGAAAACAAATAAGCGTATGAAAAGGTAATTGTGTGTGCAGAAATGGCCCAGTTGGAGTGATTTTTTTTATAAAATAAAAGGAAACGATTCAGAATAAAAGAAAAATTATGAAGACTCCGCCAGAGCGATTATAACGGTTAAGCCAAAATGACCAGTCCCTTTCCCTGGTCATGGTGCGGACATGGCATCCAGGTTGCCTAGACACCACTGGTAAAATTAGTTGGCCACTTCCTCTTCTACCCATCCATTGAGACCACCTTGTATGGCAAGGCCGAAGCCTGTACCCCCTAGCCCACCAAAGCTGGACTGATAATGGTGGCCACGCCTTTCGCCGTCACTCCCGTTGCTGCCAGCCAAGCTATTTGGGCTGTTTCCACCATGTTCAAAGCCAGGGGCAAGCACAGGCAAGCTGACAGCCCGACTGTGAGAACCACGTCCGTTGCCTGGAGCAAGAAGTCCCCCGATGGTTGAAGCACCAGACGAAGTAGCATTCGGGCCGTAGCCGTTTGAAATGGAAGCAGATTGGCCGTGCCCACCCAGGGATCCTTGCTGGGGGACATCGAGACCTAGCTCATTAGGCGAGGATTGAGCGGTGTGGAAGAGTAGGTTCTGCTGCAAAGAGAGGTGCTGATGTTGCTGCTGCTGATGAACCTGTTGAGACAACTGGTTCAAGTACATCGTGAGAGGGTTGCTCTGGGCGTTGAACAATGCAGCGGATTGCTGAGGGGTCGAGCCATTCGGGGGCGAGCCGCTGTTTTGGGAACCGTTTGGTGGAGGTGAGCCAACTCCCTCAGGACGAGGAGACTGGCTCTGCTGTTGCATCTGCCGAGGAGCGTTTCCACAGCGGTCCTTGCCAAAGTTGACTTTGAACTTCTTGTATTCATCCCTGCCACGAATGGCCTCGATCGCTTTGATAGCGTTGGCAATGTTTGTGAAGTTGACGAAGGCACAACTCTTCTCGCGAAGTGTGTTTACAAGCTCAATTTCACCATATTCAGAGAAGTCCTGACGAAGGCGATCTTCAGTCCAGGTCTCGTCCAAGTTACCCACATAGACATTCCGAGACGCACCGCCGCTCACAGCCAAGGCAATTGCGGGAGGGAGTGCTCCCGAGTGTTTTCCCCAGCCAATCTTGAGTCTGCGGTTGTGAATCATTAGTCCCTGGAGGTTGCTCAACGCATAAAATGACGCTGCGGCCGTTGGATCAATGAAGGTGACGAAGCAAATGTGCTTATCAGGAATATACCGAATATGATGGAGTAAACCCCCGCGAACAACGTTGCAAATCTCCTCGATAGTTGTTTCAGGGTGAATGTTGCCCAAGTATATTGTGCGGTTTCCCAAGTTGTTGATCCCTCCGGCAGTAGTTGCCACGGCGGCAGCGGCGACAGATTGCTGTGCAAGAGCATTGGAGATAAGGTCACGATCGGCACCGGTCAGCATGTGAGCGTAGCCAGGAGCAATGCCAAGGTACTGGGCAGCGTTCTGCTGCTGCGTCTTGGAGACATACGCGCATCTGTCTTTGCCGTAGTAGACCCGACGAGGAGCCTGCCACTTGGCCTCTTGCGGAAGTTGAGACACAGCCTTGATGGCATTGGCTATGGACAGGTAGTGAACAAATGCAATGTTCTTTTCCCGCACAATCTTGACCGTGTCGATGGCACCAAACTTGCCCAGGTCCTCCCGAAGTTCTTCATCGGACACGTCCTCAGGCAAGTTGCCCAAGTAGACATTGCGTGAGGCACCCGACTGCTGAACAGCCAGTGCGACCGAGTTGGGGACTTGAGATGGCTTTCCCCAACCCACCTTTATGTCCTGACCTTTGATACAGAGCTTTTTCAAGATTGCATCAGAGTGGAAATGTGTAGCAGAGCTAGCATCGAGGAACGAGATGAAAGCGCAGTTCTTGTCGGGCAAGAGACGAACGGACTCGATTTGGCCGCTTCGAACGTGGCCGAGGATCTCCTCGGCGGAAGTGTCTTGGGGAATGTTGCCAAGATAGACCGTCCGGCTAGTACCACTAACATTAGAGGAGCCCAAAACAGGAGAAGCGGGTTGCATGGCCGATTGCAAGTTGAAACCTCCAGTAGGGGATTGAGGAGGGTAAAACTGAGGGGCTCCATATGTGGATGGCGACACCAGGGCCTGGTATGACTGAGGCGAAATATTCTGTTGAACAGGGCTGGAGACGCCGCCGCTGTGCTGATTATTATTTCCCCCTTGCTGCTGGTTCTGTTGGAAAGCAGGCAAGTTTTGGAACTGAGGGCTGCTGCCGAAGGCGGCAGGGCTTCCTGGCTGGAACGGGCTCCCGAGGAGAAGCTGCGATGGCAGAAGAGGAGTAAATTGCATGTCGAATGCAGTGCCGGGTGTAGTCATGTCGTTTGCATTGGGAGATGCTGGTTGAACCTGGTTCACGGACTGGGTATTAAGAGATGGAATGTTGCCTCGACGTGGGTGACGGTCAGCAAATCCAGATATGTTGGACGTGAAGGCGCCGTGAGAGAATCCGGTATCACTATTGGAAGGCTTCGATACATGGCCCTGAAACCGGCCACTTGAATTGACACTGGCCTGGCCAATGTGTCCGTTGAGGTCCTGCATGCCAAGCAGATGAGGGGGGACAAGAGAGTCCCGCCCAACGCGCGATAGAACAGCCGTTTTGAGAGGCAGTACGTGCCTCGTTCAAGGCACGATAAAAGGCGGCACGCGGGGATGGAGGTGTAAGCGTTGGCCTTGAGGTGCTAGTGTGTCTCAACTTCGACGGCTATCGGAAAGGCAACCAAAGAACTGGCTGAAGGGTCTGTTATTGATAGAAGCAAGGAACAAAAGTAGCGCCAAGGGACCTAGAGATATTAAACTGAAGGCGAACAAAATATATAGTCAATGGCCGTGTTGTAGGAAAGTCGCATATATGCAAAGTATTCTGCTTCAATAAACAGGATGCTGGTCTGAAAGGACACGCTGACAAAGATGGCAGAATGTTTTGTCACCCAGGGACGAGAGAGTTCTGGGACGTGGAATCTGCCTGCTGAAATGACAAGCAAGTCGTGTGTCGAGTCGAAGTGGTCCGAATCGGTGGAACGCAATAGCATTGGTCAAGCATACGGCGAAGACTTGAAGGCGGAGGTTCAAATAGAACGATGGAAGTCGAAGAGATGTTGTGCACAGGACGACAGCTGTTAAGACGCAGGTTTTGTCTTTGTTCGTGACCGAGCAGTACGGAACCGAGAAGCCGGACGGCGGCGGCGGCACGACAGCAGGGGGCGGCAAACCAAGAAAATAATTAAAGATGTCTAAATAGGCCGAAACGAGTGTCGATAAGATGAAGAAGATTGTCGTGTCAAAAGAAAGCTTCCAAGAAAAACTGCATCTGGAGCGAAATCGCCCACAGAGACCAACTTTGAAGGCGCTGAGGAAAGAAAGAGACTGAAGCACGAGAGCTGGTCAAGGCGCGTGGAACTCGTCAGGGACAAAAGAAGCGGCCTGGATGAGAAGACTGTGGAGGTTGACGGTACCTAGGAGCTTGGACGGCCTGAGGCCTGCCTTGGAAAAGAGCAGAGACTGGAAGCAGGCCGCCGTCGTAGGGAGAGCGAGTGAGAGATGAGAAACAACTCCAGTGGTGGTGGAGATGGCCCGGGGTGGACGAGAAAAACAGGGACGGCTTGACGGTTCAGGACGGGACTCCGTACGTTACTCGGTGCACAATGAAGAGGCGAGTGTTTAACAAGGGGCCCCTGTCCGTTGGGAGGTATGGCTAGAAAATGGCAAAAAACGCGTGAAGGAGCACGGAGTCGAGAATATCAATACCAGCTCGAGGGAAACGAGAACGAGAGGGATGGGGCAGCAGAGCGTGCGCCCGATTACAATAGGAGAGAGGATAAAGATTGGATGGATTACTCCGTACATAGGAGAGAGAGCGTGAGAAAAACAAAAAGATGATGGACGAGCAAGGAGAGCTCTGGGAAGATGGAGGATGGAAGGGGATTTGGACTCCAGGAACACGGGGCGAGACCAGTGTCTCAACCATTGACATGTACAGATACCTGCACCTCTGGCAGCTTTCAGAAGCGGCAGGGCCCAATCAAGTGCGCTAGAGCGCGGGTCGTCGCTCAACGCAGGGGCTCGAAAGGGAGAGCAGGCAACGGCTGACGGCAAGTTGACGGTACCCAGTACAAGGCCCGCGGTACTCCGTACCTGGTACCTGACAACGCTTCATTCGTGAAGAAAGAGATGAGGCACCGACTTGCTGACGCCGTACCTGGACTAGGGGGTGGGCACCCAGTTTCGCAAGACGTGGTTGGCTGGCGGATGAAGGGGAGCGGACAGGGGCAACAGTGACATCTATCCATTCATTGGAGGAAAGAAGGTGCGATACTCGAGGAACAGCTCATCTGGTCCGGATTCTCAAGCGGGCGTAAAGACACAAAAGACCACAACCTATGGGCGCTTGAGCCTCTCTGCCTTGTGAATTATGAGAATTTCGACACTCGAATTGGTCTCGCCAATTTCGCCGTTCTCGTACATGCCATTCCCCAAAGCCCGCGTAGGGTGAGTTTGGGGTGAGTTTGGGGTGAGCGTGAGGGGGCGTGGGCGTGGGCGTGGGCGTGGGGTTGGGCGTGGGGTCATGCGAAATTATACTCCGTCTGGTACGTACCACGTACGTGCTCCCTACTCAAGTACTCCGTACATGTGAGTCTAATGAACCCCTGGCAGGGATGATGGTCCAGGTCCCGGTCCAAGGCCAGGGGCATGCCGTGATGCCAGCACTCTGTTACGCAGCACGGGGCATTTAAACAAAGACGCTGCTGGACCTGAGGCTTTGGAATGTTGAGTTGGGTTTGGGCACAACAGTGCCTGTTGCATGCTCTGCGAATGCTATTGTGCTCGCCGCTCTGTGTGTTGTTTGGAATAGATGCGGCCCAAAGGCACCGAGTGCGTACTCGTGATGATGATGTGTGCTTAGGTACGCGGTAGCCAGTACCCCGTGCTGCGTGCCGTAGCCACCAAAAGCCCCGGGACATATTATTGAGGGCGACTTTATATTAACGTTAGACACGTCCACCCCCAAGCTAAAGTTGAGCAGCATGGCGTGTGTGACAATGGCCAATCTTATTCTCTCGCACCCAATGGTTGGGCAGACTCGGGAGGCAATAGATCGAGTGGTGCTACGCCCCTCCCTCTCTCCCTCCCGTCTCTTGAACATCCATGATCCATCACGGAATACGGAGTACAGTCATCTTGGTATTTGGTAAATTACAGACTGCGGACATGTCAATACTAGACGTGCACAGCAAGTTACGTACGTAGTTCTGACTTGGCCAAGAGTTGTGACGAGCTCCTGAGGCATAGAGGAGGTGCGATGATGAGGGAAGGAGCATAAGGGGCCGCCGACCTTGTTCCTGCTTCATCTACTCCGTACGGAGTATAGTCGTGGCGTATCCATCCTCTTACATCCCAGACTTGCTGTCATTCTCTGCATTTCGGAGCGGTTTTACATTCATCGCTTCTGCGTCCAACATGACATGCTTCCGCTACGAAAATTGCACCAAGCACGCCCATGCGGGATCACAGTACGGAGCAGAGAAACCTGAGGACCCTCTGTGGGAGAGTCACCGCGGGCGTGGCCTCCCCAACTTGGCACAATGGATTCCATTATAACTACCAGCAGTCACAGTAAAGTTGCGCTGGCAAAGCCCCAAAGATTCCCATCATTGTTGCAAAGGGCAGTCAGTCGTCAACTGACCTGCTCAACAGACATGGCAGCGCTGTTCTAATCTCCCCTGCCCCATGATAGCCGGGGCTTTTGCGATGGGCAAAACGAGGTTTCATACACGACATGTCTTTGTCCGTACCAAGTACAGCCACAAAAAGACGCGCCAACATCAAGAATGAGGTGGGCTGGCGCATGGCAAAGTCCGTGCCAACTGCCGCTGAGCCCGGCCTACAGAGTCAGATGCAAAAAATAGTCTTGTGACATACACACTCGGTGCTGGGCACGCACAGAGCCAACGGGGCCAACAGTGAACACTAGGCCGTACGCCGTACCAAGCGTAGCAAATCGGAGAATGTGTTGATACCCGCTCCCAGTTACTATTGGGCCATTGTTTACCGCCTCAGTCTGCGTCGTCTGGCCATGAAACGTCCACCCATCCGTCCAACCCTCGGGTGAGAGTCAGTACGGCGTCTGATTACTCCGTACTGTTTGACATTTTGCCGGCGTTTCCCCATGCTCGGTTTCGTTCGCAAGGCCACTTGGCTGCCTTGAAACAGCAAAGAGGATCTCGGCCGCAGCCAAGATTCGCATGTCCCTCATCGCCATTATTGATGAATACTGTCCTGAGTCCCTCCCCGCATCTTTTGGGGCAGATCAGGCAGTCTGTGTGTGGGGTTGGCCGTCAGTGCATCATGACCCCTTTCCCTTTCGTCGACTCGTGTATACTTGCGGACTGTGACGCCGTCAGTCAGTTTGCTTGCAGAGGATGAGAGTGTCCCGTCACGGCCAGTCAGGGGTCCCTAGAGCTTGCCGTATCCCGTGTTAGTGCGGCACGACCCGCCTGGGCTCACAGCTAAACCCGCGTATTAACTTGGTGCTGCTAGTAGTACACGGTCGGTGGATAGAGACAACACCCCTTTTTACAGCCCTACGGAGTATGCCGCTATCGATTTCAGTCCCTGTTTTTGCAGTTGGATTATTGGCCCAATACGGAGTACGTGCATTCTTTTTCTTGACTCTTAACGACTGCTTCGTTTGCACACTTACGAAACGAATCACAACCAGCGGCGTCTTAGCCGGTCAACAGACTCAACACAGGTAGGTCTAGGAAGGAGCAGGAGCAGGAGCAGGGGCAGGAGCAGGAACGCAACGTGGCCGCGCACCCCAGCTTGCTCCCTGCTTAATTGAGTAAGAAAGTCTGAAATGAAAATGCAGACGGGTGGTAGACAACGGTACGGAGTGCACGTCGACAACGAGACACAAAAACCGCCCACCGCCCTGTCAAAGGGGACGCCAAAGGGGACGCCAATGACGCCAATATCACATCTTGAAAGGTTATCGCTTACGTGGGCACTGCCCTATTCAACGTCCCGCAAACAACCAATCAGCAACCGTCATCCAAAGCCGCAACTTGTCTACCATACCGTCCGGCGAACCTGCAGGACGTCCGAGTGAATCCTTCTCCAACGGCTCCATCACCACCTCCTGTGGCGGCGGTGGTGCTGCCAGCAAACTCGCCTGCTGCCCCTCCCTCAGCCAGCCAGACACCTCACATATATATGTCAGCTCCAGGCTCCACGTCACGAAATGGCACAAAAGTCACCGGCCCTGCTGTAAGGCGCCGCCAAGCGCCAGGAACACGTAGACAAGGGGACCGCCGTCGTGCCTAGAGCTCATTTGGCCAGCGCCTCCTTGCTCAGGAATCCGACGGGGGACCCGGCAATCTCTTTTGCGCCATGGGCAAGTCTGCATGACTCCTGTGTCGGGCGACGGCTGTCTGGGATGTAGCTCACGAGGCCGGCTGCTTTACGTCGGGTTGACATGGGAGAACGCTGCTCACTGCTTCGTACGTGGGAACGGCAAATGTCGAGCTCATCGAGCATTCCGA